AAAAAAAAAAAAAAAAAAAAAAAAAAAAAAAAAAAAAAAAAAAAAAAAAAAAATCCCGAAATTGAAAAATTGAAAATTGAAAATTGAGAGCCAAAGTTGTTTCAGAACACGTAGACGGATAACGATTATAAGGCAAAAAAAAAAAACGTATATGATTTGGTGTTTCCTGTGAAAACTTGAAGTTTTCCACTCTCTCTAAATTAGACGTAGTTAGCTTAAGCGTTACTTATTACGCTTTTCCTTCGCCTCAGAATAAAGGAAAGGAAAAGAAAATAATTTACAATAAATTCTCCATGTTCCTTGTAGACTCATTGTTCTCGCGCTTTACTTAATCAGGGCCAAATCCAGATTAAGCAAGAGAAAAAAAGAAAAAAATTAATAGTTCAATAGGGAAACTACCGACGAAAAAAGGGCAAACGATGAAAAAAGGCAAACGATGAAAAAAGGCAAACGATGAAAAAAGGCAAATGATGAAAAAAGGCAAATGATAAAAATAAAGGGGAAACTAGAATTGCACAAAAGTTGAAAATTTGGGGTAACAGGAAGAGTAATTTGAGACAACCACACGGGGTTTGATAGGGCAATAGCCTTTTTTTGTATGTAAAAAGTTGGCCTGTGAGAGGAAAAAGAAGGAGGGGAGAAGGAGGGGAGAAGGAGGGATTTTTTGAATTTGAGTTTTATTTTTATCCAACATCAAACTTGTAAGTTGCACTTTTAAAGTTAAACATATCCCCAAGAGGCAAAAAACAATTCGTTTAATGTTTTACTCAATAGAGTTGTAGTTGATGCTTATTGTGAAGGAGCTGACTTATCACAATAGCAATCTAGTTTAATAGGAGCTATTATATTTTGCTTTTTACAAGGCTCCAGCTAGTTTCTAAAACGGGGGGAAAAAACAATATAAAGTATAGAAACTTGTTTCAAAAATTACCCTTTTGTCGACAACATTGTCAATAACATGACCAACAACAGCCTAATATCATAGCCCAATATCACAGCCTACATCACACCATACAACACATTTCTACCAATTGACAAGCAAAATTATAGCAGTTTCAGCTCATTTGGTAGCAGCTTGTCTGCGCCTTCTTTTTTTTTTGGCTGCGAAAAGCACCATTATCAAACTAACCATGCTTACTCTAAAGTTTTCACATTTTGCGGCCAAAAAAATAAAGTGCAATGACTTGTAACAAACACATGGAAAATCCTTACTTTCGAATTTTTTCGAATCACCATGTTTGATGGAGCTAAACAAGCATCTAATTTCTCACAAAAGAATGACGGACCATCATTAACTAAGGTTGAGGATTTAGTTTACACTATATACTGACTGACTATCTTCTTTTACTTTTTGCATCAAAATGTTTTTACCATTGATAGAAGTACGAGCTTGTATTATAAGATACGACCCTACATGTTTAAAGATTATAAGATATGAAACTACATGTGTTGTAAAAGATACGAACAAAAATTTCTTCACCCCGAAATAAATGATTGATAAAAGTTCAAACTATTCAGAATCTACTCTTAATACATGCAAGTAATATAAGAAATAGCAAAAAAGAAGGAAATTACCGTTGAAACTAACTAAAATGCTTACCAAGAAGCACTAAATGATAGAAAAGAAAAGATAAACCTTTAATAGTGATTTCTTTGGATAAAAGCTGTGCTATGAAACAAATATAAAAGTATGCACAATCTATAAGCGGAATAGCTATAATAGTCTTTTTTTTAAAAAAAAAGATAATCTTAAGAAATAACTAAGCGTTCCCCTCCGTGACATCTAAAATCGATTAGTTCAGCATGATCTGGCTTTATAAAATTTAAATATTGAACTGACAATAGACAATTTCTTTTCAATGACACCACTATCAAATGCGAAATGGCTATTTAATTTTGTTTCATTTTTGTTTTTCAATGTTTTGATTTCGCCTCTGGCTAGCTATTATTCTTTTTATTCTATGTGAAATAAGATAGATCAACTTGCAAAACAAATACCTTGCCTTGTTTACAACTTTTTACCACACGGAAAAAAAAGCCGGGTTAACTTGAACAAAATTAGTAAGGAGAACTAAAAATTTAGACTATGAATACATGGCTTATTGTTATGATGTACTGATTTTTCCAAATTAGTGTGGTTTTTCTCTTATCCGGGATTTTAGATTGTGCAAAATTATTTGATGTGCAAATTTCTTTTTTACTCAAAAGCGAGAAAAAGGAAAAATTGTGCTTTAATAGAGAAGGAAATGCACCCAAAAGGATATATCCAAACCACTACAATGTTGAATGTGAGTGCCTAAAATAGCCTAAATTTCAATAGCTACATGTGTTTCTATTGTTGTGTGTTTCTGTAACCACGTGCCTCTACGGTTACGTGCCTCTATGGTTACGTGCCTTTATGATCCCGTATCCATACGATTGCTTATATTTCCAGGTGTAGAGCATGTATAGTTGTATACCAGTTTAGTTTTTCTTCTTGGACAGAAAAATAAAAAGACATTATAAACCAAATTGATGACGAGAAGAAGTTTATATTTTTCATTTCTTAGAAATATAGTGGAATCGTAAGATGACTTTGATGTCCTTCTTCTTTGGTCTCTTGGCTTTGACGCATTTTCCGTTTGGATCTATTTGTTCAAGCTGACTTAAACTTTATGTCAAAAAGAAATTACTTTTTCATCGTCCTTCCTTCCTTCAGTAAAATAGTTAGGTTTATGGAAATTTAAGGTTTAGGTTTAGGTTTGTATAGTTTTAGCCTTAAAAGCAAGTCATTTTTTGACAAGATGTTCTTTTCTGTAGACCAAAAAAAAAAAAAAAAAGAGTAATTTCATCCTTTACCTTTAAGAGAAGGGGATAAAGCAGTGCAGAAGGAGGCATTGCAAAAGGAATTTCATTGAAAGTGAGAGTGTTTGTGGATGTAAAAAATTTGGCAATGTAAAGGTTAATTGTTCCCAGGATGGTGATTTCTGGATTAAAGAACTTAGTTTAGTCGGGGAAAAAACTCAATACCCCATGGTTTATTTTTTTTGGTTCTGTACATCGCAACAGCGTGATCGACACATATCCATTAGAGAAGAAGAGGGGAAACTGACAAGGAAAACGATTTGTTGATTTTCCTTTCAAAAGAAAACATTTAGTTGGTTCAAAAGAAAACATTTAGTTGGTTCAAAAGAAAACGTTTACATTTAGTTGGTTCAAAAGAAAACGTTTACATTTAGATGGTTCAGAAGAAAACGTTTACATTTAGTTTGGTTCAAAAGAAAACGTTTACATTTAGTTGGTTCTTCTTTCGAAAGAAAACATTTAGTTGGTTCTTCTGTCAAATGAAATTTGTGACAGTCACTACTTTTAAGTTAAATCATGAAAGATACCAAGATCATTTCAATGCACAATTTAAATTTGTAGTTAGAAAATGAACAGATTTGATTGCAATTTCACTATCAACTCTCTCTTCCTTTAATATTAATATTATTATTATAATAAATGAAAGGAGCTAAAAACTAGCGAAATATCAACACTTTCTTTAACAATATTTTACTTCTTGTTCTTTGTTGAAAGTGTTTATAATCTTTTTTCCAACACGAGTACCACATGTTATACGAGAAAGAGAAATATATAAGGGTATACACTTTTTCAACACCACCAGCAAGTAAATGGCGGCAGTTTGCAGTACAGGGTGCTTATCGCTTACCCCTGTACCTGCACCAATGCTGGTACCTATTGCTGGTGCTCAACGATAAGAAGAAGAAGAAGAAAAAAAAAAAGCTGGTCGTTATATCTAAAAAATCTTTTGTCGTTGGGGAATTCTTTTTAGATAGTTAGTTATTTTCTTTCTTTTTTTTTTTTTTCTCTACTTGGTTTTGTGAAATGCTTTTTATATTCTTGCACAAGATACAACATTTATGGTTATTATTCTCATTGCTTGCAAACTTCGATTAGTATTATGTTGGTGTTTCCATTGATTTGCATAACTCTCACTCCACATGCAAGACCCCATTGAGCAAATAACTAACAAAATTCCTTCTTTGGGTTTTGACAAAAAGAGAGTGGAGTGCACCTTTTTTGTACCTCTGTCATTTGCGCCTTCCACCTACAAACTATATGTAAAATCTTACCTGCGTAACAACTCTCAATTTCTTCCTTGGAAAATTCCGCATTAAAATAAAATTTTTTTTTTTAAATAATCAACTCTCAAATTCATGTTGCTCCCAAGCGATTGGACTTGTTCGGTGAAGGATGGAAAAGAAAAGAAAAGTAAAGTAAAATAAACAAAAAGAAGATAGAACCTCCAATCACAGTAGGCAGAAAAAAGGAGCTGGATATTTGTGGATCAAAACCATTGAACCAAGCATAAATTTAAATAAAAATTAATCTTACATGCAGTGGAAATTTTTTTTTTCTTTTCTTTATTCCATCTCTTTTAGTTTTGGTCGTCGCTGATAATAGTAGTGGTATTATTATTGTTAACATGTTATTACTAAAACAATATAGAACATCTGGTAAACGATTTTGTGTAACTCGTGATTGTTCGTTCGATTTTCCAGCTGTTTATCTTTCTTGGATCCAACTAGACTTCAAGAATATAGCATGTACATCTCTGTTAACACCGATACTATCTAACGGTGAAGTATTTTATTACCCTTATTGCTTCTGTGGAATGGAGGTTGCCAACATCATGCAATAGGTTTATTTTATCTTGCTTTTTGTTTCTTTTAGTCTTTATTCCCTTCAACAAAAGGCCTGTGCCAGACTCCACTTATTTTTGTTTCGACTATTTAAGCAAGTTAGGATTCCTGAATTATTCAATTTCTCCCTCTCATGATTCCTGTTAAAAAATCTCTCAATCCTTCAACAGTCCGAATCAAGTTTATACTCTTTCGACTAGACTTCCTCAAAAATTTGCAAAAGTTATGAGAGTATCCACCACATTAGGTAGCATTGCTGCAATAGTAGCCACAACTCAGGCGGCTCCTCTTATTTTAACTCAATACGTTACTGCATCCATAACAACTACTCTGTGGGTCACCGTATATCTGGCCGTTACCTTTACAGCCTCCACTTATATAACAAGATATGGTCCTCCACCTGTAGCAACAACAACAAATAGTTTCACAAGTTCAACAAGTTCCACAACCCCAACTACAACATCCTCTTCTTCCCCAGTATCCACATCTTCTGTGTCAACTGAAAGTACAAGCTCTTCATTAACTACACCCACCTCCACTGCCCCTACCACCTCATCCAGTTCGCAAGCAAGCTCATCATCTTCAACACCAACTACCTCCTCCACCCCATCCACAACTACCACCTCCACCTCCACTCCATCCACAACAACCACTTCCACCTCCACCCCACCCACAACTATCACTTCCACCACCACCTCCACCTCCACCTCCACCCCAACCAGATCCACCAGATCCACCTCATCCACCAGATCCACCACATTCACCACATCCACCACATCCACCACATCCACCTCATCCACCTCATCCACCTCATCCACCAGCTCCGCTTTATCTACCCCAGTACCTTCAGATACTGAATTTTATGACGAAATATTAAACGAACATAACCGTTTAAGAGCCCTCCATGGTGTAGGCAATTTAACATGGGACTCTGCATTAGTCGAATACGCCGCCACCTACGCAGCCAGTAATTTCGACTGTAATAATGTTGAGTTGGTACATTCCAATGGTCCATACGGTGAAAACTTGGCAGCTGGTTATGTTGGTGGTATTACTCCAACAGATGCTTGGTACGATGAAATCAAGGACTACGATTTTAGTAAACCAGGCTACTCTCCTGCAACCGGTCACTTCACCCAAGTTGTTTGGAAATCAACAACCAAAGTCGGCTGTTCCAGAGTCATGTGCAATAATATCTGGAGGCAGTACACTATATGTGAATATTCCGACACCAGAGGTAATATTAATGGTATTGATTCTGAGACTGGAAAAGATCTCTTTGAGGTAAACGTCCTTCCACCATTAAATTCCTAAAAAGGAAGTTTAAATCAATTAGCCTTCACCAACGACAATAAGCCATAAGATCCTCGTTGCAACATAGAAGTTTTTCTTATTCAAATCATACTATTTTCGTACAAGACAATAATGGAGTTGAAAAATGGTTATCTTTTTTTTTTTTCCTCCAATTTTTTTTATCCTTCTTGTATAGCGATAAAACAGAGATACCTATAAAATAGAATCCTCTTCATTTTACTTTATTCTCTACACCAAGCTGTTGAATGTGTGCTTGTGTTTCCTGAGAGTTTACAAAACTTGTCTCTAATATGTAAGAATGTTAGAGATTAACCCAATTAAGAAAGAAAATATAGAGAGCAAAGTAAAAGTAAAAGAAGATACTTTTTTCTTTTATTTTTTATAGCCAATTGTGTATATTGATTTTAAACATACATTTGATTATCAAATACATACTGGTTACCTTAATTTTTCAAGACTGAAGCAAATTGACCTTTAGATGGTTTAGCTTTTGATTTTTCAACTTTAGCAGAACCAAGCTTTTCAGCAGAGTATGCTTTAGCATATGGGTTCAATCTCAACAAAACTTGTTTGTTCTTCAATGGGTTCTTCTTCAAAACGTGAGTCTTCTTTTGAGATGATTCACCAGCTGGTCTAACAACAGCTTGGACTTCAGCGGAATTGATCAATCTAGTAACATCGGTGTTTGAAATAATGTTTGTTGGTAAAGAGTAGTTGGATTTGATCGATTTGGTTGATTCTGATCCGTAGACTGAATCCAAAGCTTCAATAGCTGATTGGGTCCAGATAATGAATCTACCCAAGTGAGCACCTGGAGCTAATTGCAACAAACCCAAATGCTTAACTGAAGAAGTTTCAACACCTGGGATGTTTCTCAAGGCCTTGACTAAACCATTGTCTTCATTGTAAACAACCAATGGACCTCTTCTTTGAGTAAATCTTCTGCCTCTCAATTTACCCTTACCGGCTCTCATCTTCTTTGATTTGATAACCTTAACAACATCTTTGTGAGCACCAATAGCTTTCAAAACGGCGACAGCATCCTTGGTTTTGGTAACTGACTCGAATTCATTAGAAACAACTAATGGAATTTCCTTAACGTTTTCAACCCTGTGTCCTCTAGCAAGAACCAATGAGGTAACAGCTGAAGCAGCAATAGCTGAAGCAGTAGCATACCTTTTTTCATTGTGGTTAACCTTGACATTCCACTTTCTCCATGTCTTGGTTGGAGCAAACATACGACCACCTCTACACATGTTACCAAAAGCAGCTTGACCAGAACGGTGAGTACCACCACCACCAACTCTTGGAATTCTAGCAACAGCTCTACCAGTACCCCAAGACTCGGCAGAAGTCTGGTGACCAGCATTTTCAGCAACAGCATAAGCTTGTCTCTTGTTCTTGTTAATTCTAACAAAAACTGAGTGGACAATATCTGGTCTCACTGGTGCAGAGAAAACTGCTGGTAATGGTAATTGGGTGCTAGATTGTTCACCTTGAATGGTGACAACAGAAACTTGTGGTCTAGATGACATCCTGGATAGATAGAGATAGGTATATACTTGGTAATAGATATAAAGAGTGATGGAGTTAAAAGTAGAATATAAAAGTGGAAAAGGTTTATTTGAAAAATTTTTTATATAGTATAAAGAAAAAAAAAAAAAAATTTTTCACTTTGAGAAAAAAAAAAAAAAAAAAAAAAAAAAAAAAAAAAAAGGGGTTTGTTAATAAAAAAAAAAAAAAAAAAAAAAGAAAAAAAAAAAGGCGGTTGGTAGCACAGTCGTGTATATTGCTCAATATAACTTTTATTTTTATTTTTGCCATCTCTCACAACCTTCTCTACCTTCCAAGTTAATTCGATTCAATTCAATTCAATTCAATTCTCTTGGAATTGTATATAGAGACTATGCACAGAAGGGGGTGCGTGCGTGTGTGTGTGTGTGTGTATATATGTGGTGGGAGTGGGTTCAACAACAAGAGCTAGTCTGAGCTTGTGGACGTCTAGGTCTGTTCAAGTCGACTCCTCCTCCTCCTCCTCCCATTCTTCTGCCACCACTGGCACCACCGCCTTGCCTCGTTCTAGAAGCATTCGCCTCTATAACTTCATCTACAGGTAAAGCTCTTCCTATTTTATCAAATATTTCCACCACGCCTTCGCCACTCTTTGCTGAACATTGCGTTGTAATAATCTTAACCTCTTCATTTTGCATTTCCGAGATATAATCCTCGAGATCTTGCTGTTGAACCTCTCTTTTATCTTCTAAATCTAACTTGTTACCAACTAATGCAATTACGATCCCTTCTGGCGCTTGTTTCCTCAATTCCTTTATCCAGTCTTGTGCCTTTTTGAACGACAGCTGACTGGTAATATCGTAAACACACAAAGCCGCATTAGCATTTCTGTAATACATGGGAGCTAATGATTTATAGCGCTCTTGACCTGCAGTGTCCCATATTTCAAATTTTATCGTTGTTTGCGACTCTGGTATTGTGATGGATTGAGTCAAGAAGGCAGCACCTATAGTAGACTCCCTCATATCATCAAAAGTATTTTTGACAAATCTATGCACTATGGACGATTTACCAACAGCACTTTCTCCTAAAAGAACAAGTTTGAATTGGGCAAAACGTTGCGTAGAAGGTTGTTGTTGTTGTTGTGGTGGTGGTGGTTGTGTGGACATTATGAATAATCTGTAAAAAATTGGTAAAAACCTTGATTAACTAAATAGTACTTACCTCAAAAGCTTAGGCTCTAAATGGAAGAGGGGAGAGGGAGGGAAAGAAAAGGGTGAAGATATAGCTCACTAGAGGTTATAATTGCCGAGATCTTGAATCACTAACTGATTGATCGACCAACTTGTGTATTAATGTTCTGATTTTGAACCCACCTCTTTAGCTTTAATAGGCTGAATTTTATTGTTGTATTACTTGTTTAGTTTTGAAATCCTTTATCTTAATGAGGGGTTTATATGCAGGCGGAAATTAGTTAGCCTAAAAGAATTGAGAAAAACGACACAACACTATTGAGCAGAGCGAGATAGTGTAGTGTAGAATAAAGAGCACTATCGAGCAGAGCGAGATAGTGTAGTGTAGAATAGAATAAAGAGCACTATCGAGCAGAGCGAGATAGTGTAGTGTAGAATAAAGAGCACTATCGAGCAGAGCGAGATAGTGTAGTGTAGAATAGAGTAAAGAGCACTATCGAGCAGAGCGAGATAGTGTAGAATAGACTAAAGAGCACTATCGAGCAGAGCGAGATAGTGTAGTGTTGTGTAAAGTAGAAAACACTATCTCGCTCTGCTCGATAGTGAATAGAGTAAAGTAGTGTAGTGTAGTGTTGTGTAAAGTAGAAAACACTATCTCGCTCTGCTCGATAGTGAATAGAGTAAAGTAGTGTAGTGTAGTGTTGTGTAAAGTAGAAAACACTATCTAGCTCTGCTCGATAGTGTAGTGTAGTGTAGTGTAGAATAGAGTGGAAAATAACATCTTGCTCTGCTCGATATTAGTAGCCACGGCTGATTTTGATGGAAGCTAGAACAATTCGAGTTATAGTCATTAACAGAAGCTAGAATAATTGGAATTACCGGATAATTGGAGAAAGTTTAAGATGTTTATAGACTTTTCTACTGTAAATCTTTTTATTGCCAAAATAGTGCGAAAAAAAGAAGCAAAAAGAAGCAAAAAAAGCAAAAAAAACAATGAACCTTATGAATAGTTGGAGAGTTGGAGACAATTGGCGGGAATAGTTATGTGACAGTTTACAAATGGTTAAATTATAGTTGATTACGTAGTTTGTGATTAATTTATAGTTGATGACGTAGTTAACGGTTAATTTATAATTGTTAGAGGTTAACGGCTATTTCTTATTTTGTTTGAGGTGAACGGCTATTACATAGTTAACGGCTATCACATTTTTTATGTTAGAGTGTAACGGCTATCACATTTTGTTAGAGGTTAATCTCTAATTATATCCAGTACATTGTTTTGTATAAACGGCTCCTTGCATAAAATATACACTCTCATTCTACATCCACCTCCTCTCTCTCTCTCTCTCTCTCTTTCTTTCTCTCTCTCTTTCTCTCTCTCTCTTTCTCCTTTCTCGTCTACTTCTTTTCCCTTTCTTTTCTTGCAAACACCATAATTTGATTCTCATTTTCGTAATTCCCTAGCACCGGCTTTTCGCACCTTTTCCCTTTTCCGTCGGAAATCGTACGGATCGTAGAATGGAAACTCTGTTGAAAAATATCTCTTGGCCTAGTACCAAAAGAATCAAAAGAATCAAGAGAATCAAGAGAATCGCCGTAGACTAACACTTGCTTATCAACATTACACAATTTTCTTTTGTCCCTTAACTACATACCTCTTTTTCCAAATTGCCTTGTCGCAATTGGACCCCCCCCCTTCCCTCCTATACCACCACCAAATATAACTTCGTGATCATCTCTAACTCGATAAGCAGAAGGAGACAAAAAAAGGAAAGCAAAAAAAAAAAAACAAAAGAGGAGGATTCATTATTGCAAATTTAAAGAGCTCCAAGTAGGCAGAAACAGAAGAAATACTTTTTCAAGGGGTCATAGTTGGTTTTCAAGAAGAAGCACACAACAACAAGTCGTCTACAGTAGCTTTTTTTTTAAGTTGGTTTCTGGTTTCAGGTTGAATTTTATTTCTTTTACATATCATATGAGATAATGAATGATCAAAGCTTGACTGATAATCAGCAAGCGTTTGTGCAGTCGGTGGTAAAGAGAATAGAGACATTATTACCAATTCGAACAGGACGAACTATTCGGGAGGTGGAAATCGACCCTCAATTCATACACACTAAGGAGCTTTTCTTGAAAAACGAATGTCATAAACCGAGATTCATCACACTTATCTTAACTTCGCTAACTGGCTTGTTAAAGACAATCAATGCTGAAGCTCAAAACAACAAGCTCAAATACAGAGACGAGAAGTCGCGTTGGTCAACATTACTAGTATGCAAGTTGTTAACTGATGTACTAACTGCAAACTGGAATCGAAAATCATTTTATATGAGGGATATCGATGCAATAAGCAATTATTCTAATTACTACTATTACGATGTCCCTGAGCCTCTAGATTCGAATATCATCGTGAATATCCTTGATTTTTACATCAATTTAATGTCCTCAGGTATGCTCAGAGAGGTGCTCACATTGATTCGTAATGAACCGCTACCTAGTCAGAGAATGACCTTGCAACAAGCAGTCGAGGAGGAGGAGGAGAACTTTAAGGGAGGAGAGCAGCAAACAAGCGAAGAGGGGTCGATAATCAGTGCCGTCTCAGAAGTCGATTCATGTATCGAAATCATCTTGGCGTTTGTATCTACAGCCAACCCCGACGAGTATTATCAGTACTTGGTAAGTAAGGTTTTCTGCTACTCAAACAAAGGCCAAACTATACCTTTACCAGTGATTCAAACATATGTGCCATTGTTGAAATATTTGTATTTTTCACGCTCCATCATTGATAAGATAGCTAGCGATTCTTTAAAGGCAATCGCCTTTATCAAATCAAATACTTGGAAACAGGTGTTTTTGTTTTTTTTGGTAAGCAGCGGCAAGGACCAGATGTTTTCAAGACCAGAAGATTACAAGCGGTTACTCGATTCTCAAACTATGCGCCATTACAATGATTTGAAATTGTTATTCGACGAAACATTGACTCTTTTTGAAGAAAGCCAAATAATGTCCCGTTGTGCACCATTTGTGCTAGCCTGCTTGCTCTGCGCATGTTTAGATGATTTTAACGAAATGAACTCAGTTAAACCAATCAACAAGTTGAAGCTCACTTTTAACAAAAGATTAAGATACGTCTCACAGATTTTAAAGGACTCGGCAAGTTCATTAAATTTGGAGTGTTTTGAGGTCTTGATACATTTTTTCCATTTGGGAGCAAGGCTCGAGGCCTCGGGTTTTAAACACCATCCTGTGCTTTTGTTCAGCTTGCGCCATATAGATGAAACTTATGGTAGATTAAGAAAGTTTGAAGAAGTGCACAAGAAGGAGCTTTTGGAAAGTGACGCTCTAAAGCTTAAATATGAGACCGTAAGGGTCAATTATTATACAGCAGCAATTTTGTTGCAACCTGACAAGTACGTTGATATTGTCATTGACATATACAAGGCCGAAATGCAAGACATTCGAATTACAAGGGTATTTGTAAAAATAATGAAGGGACTATCAGAGATTGAAATTGCTCAAGGTGTGTTTCTTAAAGTAATCCTGGGCTTGGTCGACACTCTCAAATCTATCATGTATGGAGCACTAAAAATTTTGCACTGCTATGCAATTTTCTGTGAACAGGAAAATATTCATCACCAAAACTTGAAATCAAATGAATTGGATGCTTTTTATGTTGACGAGAATGTCGAAAAAGATGACCGTTGCTTAAAAAAAGCTTTTGAGAAAACGCAAACATGCTTAGACCACTATGCCATAGATTTGGAAGACCGAATACGAAGCCATGGACTTATGCACGACATTACAAAACAGATGACGACAATGACAGCAACGACGACGACGACGACGACAGCAACAGCAGCGACAACAGCAACTACGACATCAACCGCTTCACCAGTGAGTTTGTCTTCCTTTTATGATTTTCGAATTATTAGCAATGCGGAGGAAATATTGGCAAACATTTTTGCAATTTTTGTGGCTGCTCCAGATTTATACTTTAATGACAAAAAATTGATGAATGATGAAAACTTAAATACTGTTCCATACGCACAATTGCTCAGGTCGTTAGTCAACTTTAATCATATGTGTGTTTTACCTTTGCGAGAAGCATTCAAAGCGCAATGGATAGCTCAAGGGAACACAAGATTGTTTGATGCCGCTCGCAAGTTGTCAATGCAAATGCTTGAACCAAATTCCAAAATTGATTTAGAATGCACTGTTTTGTCCTCGTTTACTAATTTCCATATATGCAATTGTATCATTCTGTCCATATGTGAGACATGCCTAGGACTATCCTTAACGGACCCAAAATTCAAGTCGTCATTTTTGTTTTTGATTGATTTTTTGCACAAGAGGGACAACTATACAAAAAGACTTTTGTCAAATTCTATTCTTCTTGATAAAAACTCACGAAAGCTATATGATACTTGTGGAGGGGTGATTTATGCTGTCGAAAAAGTTTTACTTTTGTCCTCATGTACACATGATGCTCAATTTTACAATTATGCAAAGCAAGGGATAGAATGGTATGTCGATGAAATGCACAATCATAGTGCTTTGTATAGCGAGTCAGAGATTTGTGACAATTTGCTTGAAACTTTTGAACAAATGAACAAAAAAGAGAACGTATTCACAGGTTTTGTTTCCTTACAAAAGAAGCATTGCAGCATTTTTAGAGGAGCGAAACCTACAAAGGCATTGTTTCATGTTTGGCTTATTATTCTCCAGCTCTGGAGAGAAATGTTGGTTGATAACAAGCAAATGAATGAAAATAATATGATCTTTCGACATTTTCTTGGATTTTTGGTTTCAGCGTCGGGTTGCTTCACGCATGGAGTTCAATCTAGTGCTTCAAAACAAAAGGAGTTGCAAGAGCTGTGTAGTGTGTGCATATCCGAGTTTTTTGATCAATGCATTAGCTTGCTAACATCCCAAGATTTAGTGGTAAGAGCAATTGTTAAAGAAACATTGTCTAACGAATCGCATTCGGATGTTTATGATATGATTGCCTCCAAATTGACTGCAAAAGCGACATCATTTTTGGAAAGAAAACTACAAACTGTGGAAATTGTGGTTTTCTTGGAGCAGGCAATGACAATAATGACGGCAATGCTCAATGTCAGAAATGACGGGACACTTTTGCTTTCTTCTTTGCTACCACAAATTTGTCAATTTTTCATACATTTTATAAATTCTGTTGATGACCTTCTGGAAAAACTTAGGTTGAAATTGCGATTTTGTAAATTAGCAATTGCCTTAGAGCTGGATCGAAATAGCACTGGATTGAATGGAGCCTACAAATTGAGGAACTTTTATGCAAAGGCAACCATGGAATGGTTGGAGCAAGGGGTTGTGTATGAAGATTTCACGGACACAGAAACAGGCAAAGGTAAACAAACAGAAGTTTGTATCTTGAAAATGGATTTTGCAGTTCAGTGCTCCAAGGCCTTGCGTTATCAATTAGAAAACTTGTTTTTGGAAATACCGGATGGTATCAAAGATGACGACACAAAGAAATATAAAGATTTGGCGTTTGGTAATTATTTTCTGATATTTTATAAAATAATTCAAAAATATACTACAGTTCCAGAGTTATCTCGCAACAAGCATACATTACAGCAGGTTGTTGATAACATTTTAGCAACAATTACAAATATCTTGCAATATGACAGCGAGATTGGAATTCAGTATTTATTACCTATGGGATATCATGAAAACCAAAAGATTAGAGCCATATTTTTAAACGTATTTGCTAGCATGTTGTCCTCACAGATTGTTAAGAAAAAGCGAGAAGAGTTTTCTATTGATTTAGTTGATGAGCTTCTGAAGCAAACGGAAATATTCAGTTCCGTAGCCGATTGTGCAACTTCAATGGAACACAATTTATTAGCATCATCGCTTTTTAGTGTGTTTTCATACACAAAACGATTGGACAAGTTACTACAAGTGCTTTTAATAGACGAAATTGCAAGCTTAACAAGATCAACTGATTTGTTTAGAAGGAATTCCACACTAACAAGGTTGTTATTTAACTTTACTCAGGATTTTGGCCTACCATACTTGAATCGTACTTTGGGACTGGTAATTCAGGAGATTGTTTTTTTGAACATCCATTTTGAAGTTGAGAAGAAGGAATCGTCTGAGGACTCGGCATTATTTTTTGAGTATGTTGGCAAACTAGTGGAACTGATTACAAAATCCGCAGATGACCTTCCAGTATCCTTTAAATTTGTTTGTGCGCAGATATACCAGGCTGTGCGGGTAAAATTTGAAGATGCTGCCTTGATTGCTGTGGGACTGTTTATCTTTCTTCGATGCTTGTGTCCTGCTATTATTAGTCCAGAACAGTATCTTAAAATACCAGTGGAAAATATGAAAACGAAGCGTTCTTTGATGCAGTTAGTTAAGGTACTACAGAATATGGCCAATGGAACACTTTCTTCGATTCGATGGCCTGGATTGGTTGGGAAACTTGACGTTCTAAATGAATTGAATGATAAAATAGTTGCGTTTTTAAAGAGCATTTCCACAGTGCCTACTGAGGATTATCCATTCCCAAACGTGTGCGAAAAGAAACCTCTTGCTGAATTGAGGTACTTGCACAAGTTTATCTACAATAATTTTGTTCCTATTCGGACCACTTTTCTAAGAGACAAAGTAGCTGTCAGCATCAAATCATCACATGAGCGAGTTGAGAAGTTCAAGGAGTTTGATCGAGTGGTGATGAAAATGGGTCAGCCAAAGCCAAGTGTTAAATTGCAATTAAACTCAGCTTTAAGAATGTATGAGGTGAATGGTAATGATGAGGAAGAAATCAAGTTCAACGATTTTATGACTAAGATGTCCTTGAAATATGCCGATACACCTCCAGATGCGGTTGATTTGATACATAGTGCTATATTCAAAGATGCAACACCGGCAATTGTTGTTAATTTGAAAAAGATGAAAAAAAGGCCCAAAGATATTCAATACCTAGTGTACAAGCTAATGGAGACGGCATCTCAAGTATGGGACAACAAATTTTATTTGATTTACGATTTTTCAGAGTTTTATTTTTACAATAAGGAAGGGCCCTCTGAATTTACTCATTTAGTGTCAAATTATTCAAGCAAGCAGTTGTTTTCCAATTGTAAAAGAATATACTATTTCAATATACCGAGACCTGAGCACAGTGGGATTACTGAATCAATTAAACAATTACGAAAGAAGGGAGCTGAATATGGTACAAGAATTTACATCCACTCCTCAGTTGACTCCGATCACATTGTTGGTAATTTGTGTTTGGACCAAGAGACTGTAACAATCAGTAAAGATTGCAAACTGACATACAAAAATGTATTTTTGTATGAGTCCAGCACTAAAAGGTATGTGCCAGTGTATCTCAAGATTGGAAGAATATTTCTTACTTTGTTTTTTCAAGAACGCGTTAGTTTCAGAAGCCCTCTTTCCTCAATGGACAATTTTAATCCTGTTGAGGTTTATAGGCTATCCGATATAAGCCGTTGCGAAATCTCAAACTATACTGGATTTGATGACGAGTTCACCATTTATTTGAATCAACCAAGCGAAGTAACCTTGAGATCTCCCGATAGACTTGAGATTTTAAGATTTTTATATTTTACCACGTCCAGATTACCCAAGGACCTTACGTACCAGGAACCAGACAAAGATTACCAGAACGAAGTACATGAGATGCACTGGTTTGCACGATTGTACAACATTGTTTTCCAAGGACTACTCAGTCACAATTCAGAGGTGAAAACTTCATCAGCTGTACTTTTTGGAGCATTGTCATCTTACTACGACATAGATTTTGGTATAACGGAAAAGCACGCTAGGACTTCACCTTTTCCGACTGATGCTACTAATTTGGTGGTTGCCGTTTCAAATCATTTAGCGTCTCATTATCCCAGGATGACGTATCGTTTTTTCAAGGCGTATTTTGATAACTACGAAAATATGGAGCTGCAATCCCAATTGAGCTCTATCCTTTACATGGCTCCATGGGTCAACAACGTTTATGACTACGTGTACTCACAAAGCGGACATAATGGACTAGAACGTGTTGCCGATTTGATACGTCAATTTTGCCGCATCACATCTTTGAATCGCAAGCAAATTCCCTTCATCAATGACTATATTTGGAAAAAGCTTTTTCAAGAGACGAGATTAGTATCTTCATTAGTGGAGGAAGTAGTAGCATTTGCAATTGATAGCAAAAATGAAGGGCCCGAATGGTCCTTTATAATTGCAGTTATAGTGCCTTCAGTCGAAGTATGTGGTGAAGTGATGTCAAGGTTGATGTTTTCAGTGAGGCATGCAGTCACGACGGACTCAGCAATTGCTTCGCAATCCAAACTATTTGAAATAACGGTTCTTGTTAAAATTTGTTCCTCCTTGTTTTTCAATTCATACATATTGGCACGATTGTTTTTGGCCGATATCATTTTTTTTGTCACTTTGTTCATTGACAATACTTCTTTGGAAGTGGGTTCAGATTTGCGCAATTTGATAATCAGTACTGTGCAGTCCTTCTTACACAAACCGCGGTTAACGGTCCGGCAACAGGATAACATTAATCAAACTATTGAATATTTCAGCACACCTCGAGCAAAAATGTTATTTGGTATGACTAGGGACGTAAAATCAATATTGGACGTGGGCCAGTCGTTTAATCGAATAGCCAATTTTGAAGTTTTGTGTGATTATTTGGATGAGTTTATCGATGTTGTGAGTAGTTCTGATGACAAAACAAATTGGAAGGCACGATGGTCTTCCAACGCTTTTGATGTTGCATTTGACAAGTATTCGTTGTTTCAAAATAGGGCTGTTCTAGTTGCAGGAATATTAGCCAAAAGCGGCCTTACAGACTCGATTGCTTGCAGAGCTATCAAGCTTATTGCTCACGGGAAACTAAGAAGTATTGAAACTGTTATGTGCACTTCAATTGCAACCGCTAGAATAGTGAATGGACTACAAGATACTTCGATGCTTCCACCAATACTTATTTGGCCGCAGTTTTGTTTCGCTTTGATGAATTGTTCCATCTTGTATCAGGCAGGGGTGCAAAATATAATAGCATCCGTGACCAAGATGATTGGACTGGGTCTGGATCATTTCATAGACAAATCTTACGAGAAAAGGAAATATTTGGAGCCTTATCTAAGTGACTTTGAAAAGCGTCATGAAATCACTGTTACAAAGGAGAATTTTGGAGCTTACGTTTTCATGATATTAACGCAGGGTTTGAAAGTTTCACAGTTTCGCCACTTGGCAATTGAAAGCATTAAAACTTATTACAGAAAAAGATTTCATGCCGAAATTCACAAATCTATTACCACCAAGTGTATTACAGCAAATGCTTATTTGTACCTAGTATTTTTGTATTTGTACACGGACAATAGTGAGTTTGAAGAGTTTTTAGAAGAATTTAACATAGAGAGTGAATTTGTTCAAATTAGCAAGTGCCAGCGAATATCAAAATTTTTAATCGACTTTATGCTACAGGACGATGACACTTCAAGACTTACCCTTGTTTACCTCGGACAATTTTTCAGCGATGTAAAAGGAGTTGATATAGGTCTTCGCACTCGTTTCATTGCCATCTACCACGAGCTTCTTGTTCGACATATGGATACAGCTTTACTAATTTACCATATGGTACAGCCGGCATTAACATTGTGGCTTGTGAATACCGGCTCGTTGGAAGATATTGAGAAAGTTTCTGAAATCATCCTTATGATATCCGAGGTCAAAGATTATAATCCTAGAAAATATGTTGCAATCATTGATGAATTACTCACTACAAATAAATTACAAATAATCAAAAGACTAAGAGACATGGAACCAGTCGAAAGCGTATTGAATGCCGATGGCAGATTCACGCCCTCATTTAATATTGATATTAAGGATATACAGGTTATGTTCTACAGATCCGCTTGTATTTACGTCGAAGGATTGAAATTAGAAGACTGAGGACAGAAATAAAATAAAAAACAAAATAGGAAAAAGAAAAGAAAGCATATTGCTTAAATGAAAATTCCTTCATTTCCCACCAGATGCTCCTTTTAAATTTTTTTCAAATTGTTTCAAACAAACAAATATTAAACGGCAATAAAGATGATGACTTTGCATGCATATATGTATTGTTTGGCAACGAGAAGAAAATGTTGTAAAAATTACATGAATGTGATTCTTGAATACAGTGAAAGCTACTTATTTTTCTGTTTTGTAGAACAGTTGATATCAAACTTTTGACCTTTGTATACTATGATTTGGTCCGCATTTCAATTCAACATTAGGTGTAACAAGTCTTTACGCCAAAATAAAAAATTGAACAACAAGCAGTACATCCTTAGCATGTTCAATCATCCCTATTCTCTCATGCATATCTTTATCAACCAGATTCCATTTCTCCCAATTATCAATCCATTTGCAAAGGAATCAAAATTAAAAAAAAAAAGAAAAAACAAAAACAAAAAACCAAAATTCAAAAATTCAAAATAAAAATGAAAAATGACATGTAAATTCACTGGCCAGATTGTGCAACTAGCTTTCCAAGATCTATAAAACACCACTAAGTTTATATACTTGAAGAACCCACTTTAGTTTGCTAATTATTTCTGAGCATTCATCAGGAGACTCAGCAACCAAGTAAAACTTTTTCATTGCATCCTTTGTATTTGTTGAACTGAGATGTTGGTCAGATTGTTGTTTTTGAACAATAATACGAAAGTGACTGGGTGATTTTGTATACTGTTTCAGTTTAACAATTTGAGTTATGTGAAACGAATACGTCTTGGTCAGTTGCTTGCTAACACCTTTAAACTGGTGGTTTAAGTTATGGTGATTATGATTTGCATAGTGCGAAGCTTGGCCATTGACAAAGGATTCAGATCCACTCTTTAACAGAATGTAGTCCGGCGGAGTCAAGTGAATATAGTCACCGTCAATTATAAAGTTCTTCTCATTAAATGTCTTGATTTTCATCTTCTTCATTTTACTGTTAATCTTGATCACTTTCCATTTAAAGTAGACTGAATTTATGTTTGTAGGTAATTGTGAGTTGATTCCAGAAAGTATATCTTCCAAATATTTGTCAGATGTCATGGTTCCCTTGGTTGATTTCGCTGACTTGTTCAAAAAAGTACCCTCCGTTACCTGAGACACAACTGGGGAACTTTTGTTCATCTTTGAATTTATCGTTTTCATTTTACTTGCCAATTGGTCTCTGTGCAGAGTATTACTTGGAAGTGTGAGTTCTGCTGGTGTGATATTAATATTTGATGCTGACTCTGCCAATAAGACGTTATTATTTTCAAAAGAATTAGCAGTCAAATCTAACTGTACATCCGATGGAACCAAGTCTAAAACCTTCAGTGGCATTTCTCCACAAATCTCAACATCTTTAACAAACCTATATGCATTGTTGGCTGGGTCCACAATCTTGAACCTATACTTTGTTGTTATCAATCCTCGCTGCAGGCAAAACTCTTTTAACACTTGTCCCATGGTGAGGGAGGATGATACTTTGAAAGATACTTTTTCTGGTATACCTATATTGTCGTACTCATATACTCCAATGTGAAGCTCAACTTGGTTCTGGTTATTAACTTCTGTGATTTGAGCTGTACTGTTTCTTTTACGCACAAAAGCATCCAAACTCTCCCTGTATTCCAAGGGAAGTGGGAAAAGTCTTTCGTTTTTCTCAATTTCTTTTATATCGTTGACTTTGCATAGTGCCACATCGGATGGACAGTTGTACGATGCGATCGCCCTACCACGTTCCAAAACTCCAAAGTTCCCATAATTCTCACCATCTTCATCCACAAGCTCGAGTCTCCAAAACTTAGGATTTAGGTATAATGAATCTTTCAGCTCCTTGACGTCTGAAAGCTTGAATAAGTTGAGCAAAATATAGCCAATACAATCAGCTACAGAAACGCTACTATTGATTGAAAGATTGGTTAACACAGGAGATCTGTTTGGTGGCAAAAACACATTAATTAGTGCCGACCTAGACTCTGCACCATCCACGCCTTCAACAAATGAATAGTAGTGCAATGGATTGAGATTAGATGTTTTTAATTTCGAATCAATTACTGAGCTCAAAATTGAGACTCGTTTGCCATCAGGCTTGGCGGGTATCACCTTATTGAAAGACAACGTGTGCAATTCTTTTCCTAATACTCCCATATTCGCAAGATTTTTATCCAAAAAAGATTTGTCACCTACTGACGAAGTTTGACGTTCTAAAAAGTGGGACTCAAGGTTCTTGGGCACAGTGTGATCCCAAATTGCGCTAGGCTGTTTTTCTTGCACCATCCTTTTCAGATTGAAATCAAGCAATGCATTGTTTTCACGATTATTTGCTTTCCTAAAACTCGAGCTGCATGTTTCTGAAAGCATTGTTGAATCTAAAAGGGAATCGTTATCAAGATCTGTAAACTCTGAGTCGTTGGAAAACTCCTCATACTCCTCATCTTCTTCATACTCATCGTCATCGTCATCGTCATCGTCATCGTCGTCGTCGTCGTCGTCGTCGTCGTCATCATCATCCTCCTCCTCCTCGTCGTCAGAATCGATTTCTTGTTGGTCATTTTTTGGCGAATCTACTTCGGATTGAATATTTAAGTCTATTCTTGGATTGTTATTGCTTGTTATCACATGGCCTGTTGAGTCAATTGGAACACCGAAATCACTATCAATAGTTGCTGTGTCAGCAGCTTCAGCAGCGCCGTCTTTGTTTTTGTTTCCCCCCTTGCTGTTCTTATTGCTATTATGAGTTTCCCGTTTTATCGTAGCTTCAGACTCTGCATATTCATGGTCATCGATTTCGTGATCTGTACCTGAATAGAATGTGGAATGGCCTATAGGATTGTCAAAATCGCGGCTACTACTATCCGAGTCTGAAATTGACTCTCTAGCGCTCCGGAATAGCTTTACTATAGGTAGTTTAGATCTCGACTTTAGCTTGGGAGATTTTGCATCTTTTGAATTGACAACATTCGAACCAGCCTTGCCGTACCGTAATCCAAAATTCATGCCATTTTTCTTTTTCCGCTGAGACGAATCCTCACCGCCGCCCACGCCCGCGCCGCTCGATTCGAGATAGTAGCTTGAATTAGCGTTTGTGTTGTTTTCTTGAGGCTCTACTAGCAGCTCATTCAAGGTGTCATCATAAACTTGAGACGCTGGCTTTGACTCTGGCTTTGGCTTTGGCTTTGGCTCTGACTCTGACTCTAGCTTTGGCTCTGACTCTAGCTTTGGCTCTGACTCTGGCTCTAGCTTTGGTTCTGGCACTGTCTTTGGCACCGTCTTTAACACTGTCTTTGGCACTGTCTTTAACCCTGGCTCTACTATTTTATTTTTCTCTATTCGCTGTTTACTCTTGGTTTTCCCACTATGCAGAGTTCTTACTCTTATTGCATGGTTATTACTTAAGGAATTAGCAAATGGCAGGATATTTCCAAAAGTGATTGGCGGAGAACTCGACAAAAGTTGCGCTGCTGTTTGAAGTTGCTCCAAAGCCTGATAATTTTCTGTTATAATCTTGGCCAAATACCCCGAATCTTCATCTAGACATAAATACGAAGTCCTCAAATTGTGTAACAAATGCGATTGTTCCAATGGAAATGTCATTTAAAACCAGTATATTTGTAATTCCATACCTCAGCCTGTTTCCCTATACTCTCCTCCCTTCTAGACAGAAGCAAGTTTCGTTTCAAACCTCTGGTTTCAATTGGCGCTTACTTGCTTCTCTCTTTCTTTCTTTCTTTTTTTTTTTTTTTTTCAACTTTCTTTTTTTTCCATTCTCTTTTAATTGTTGGAATTAAGCTTATAGGGTATTAATAGTCCAAGAGGGAAACGAGTGATAAAGAGAGGAGGAATACCTGTCAAAAGAGTTTAAATTGTATTAGATCTGGGGATAAATTATTTGTTGTACTACTAGAGTTGTTTTTATTTGGGTAGAATTTTGAAACCTAGTACTAGTACTAGAGAGAATTTCAAAAGGGGGGTGGCATTTTATAGTTGCTTGCACTAGTTATACTTTTGTTGAAATTCCCAATTTTGTTAACTTGGATTTGGTTGGTTCTTTAACAAGTTGGTTTATAATTGATATCGGGGCATAATCAAAAGCGCATTTTTGCACTGCCACTCCTTGGACGGTTGTCAATTGAAGTATAATGCAAAATTGAAGAGTGTTTTCCTGCTAATAAATCTGATTTTTCCAACGTTTTTGGCATGTCATCAGGTAAGGTAAACCCCAAAACATTCAATGCTGCAAGCGATTTACTGGACTTGGCAGACGATATACACAATGTTTATAACACCTACGCATCAGACTCAAATCAGAGCCAGGTGACTCTAGACTCGGAAAAGGACCGTGCCGTTTCTCACTATGCATTTGACTATACCAACAATATGAATCTGAAATTGCCAGAGATTCATATATCCTCAAGGTTATCGTCACTCGAAAACCAGGATTTTGATGAACAAATAGCACGCACAGCGCCTGGCACTCCCTTGTCTATAAGCTCTTTTGATTTCCGACCCCGCTATCCACGCGCAATCACTAACTCGTCGTTGAATGTGCTAGTGTCTACACCCAGTGATGAGTCCGGATTCAAGAGATTGATCGATAACCCAACTATACTGGATGCAAATGGTCAACAACAACAGGATTGGGAAGCAAGCAAGAGGTCCGATACTAACGATGACGGCTTACAAGAATCAGCAGAGTTCCGTAGCGAAAAACAGAAATGGGCTAATAAGGGAGCAGCCGTGAAGGAATTGCTTACACCGAATGGAGAGTCTACAGTCATAAGAAGAAGCGTCAATGATTTCCATTTCGGTAAAGAGTTGGGAGAAGGATCATACTCTACAGTGATCTTGGCAACGGACAAGTTGACATCGAAACAATACGCAATCAAGGTACTAGATAAAAGACACATAATAAAGGAGAAAAAAGTGAAGTACGTCAACATCGAAAAGCATGCATTGAATAGATTAAGTAACCGGATGGGAGTTATATCTCTTTACTTTACTTTTCAAGACAAGGACTCACTTTATTTTGTTTTGGACTATGCGGCAAATGGTGAGCTATTGACATTGATCAAAAAATACAACTCATTAAATGAAGATTGCACAAGACACTTTGGAGCGCAAATTCTTGACGCAATCAAGTATATGCATGACAACGGTGTAATACATAGGGACATAAAACCTGAAAATATATTATTGGATGACAAAATGAGAATACAAATCACGGATTTTGGTACAGCAAGGTTATTAGAGAAGAAGAACGACGAAAGTGAAGATTACCCTGTTGATGTGAGGGCCAAATCGTTTGTGGGGACAGCTGAATACGTTTCTCCCGAGCTATTAGAGAGCAAGTATTGCGGTAAGCCGGGTGATATATGGGCTTTTGGCTGCATCATTTACCAAATGATTGCCGGTAAACCTCCATTCCGAGCTAATAATGAATACCTCACTTTTCAAAAAATCACAAAACTTCAATATGCATTTAGCGCAGGATTTCCAAGCATCATCAGAGATCTCATCAAAAAGATTTTAGTCTTGCAGCCTTCTAAAAGAGCCACCATTCCTGAAATTCAAAACCACTATTTTTTCAAACAAATAGACTTTGATAATTTTGAAGACCTCTGGCTAAAGCCACCTCCTGAGATAGGTCCTTACAAAATGAGTGCCAAGTCTATGATGAAAATACCCACAACGGCAAGCACTGGGTTATCTGTATCGATACCATCCAAGAAACGGGTTCTGAAACCTGCAGCAATCGAAACTCACCAAAAAACTTTATCATCTCAAATCAATTCGCAACAATCAGGGCAGGAAAAGGTTTCAAAAACAACTTTGCCAGCAAGTCTGGAAGCAAATAATAACAACAACAACAACAATAATAATAATAATAATAATAATAATAATAATAATAACAATAATGCAGCAAATGCAGCAGCTTTTGCTCTTAGAAAACCACTGACAGGATCGGACCTCACCTTCTCAGAACCAAGCACACCCAATACAAGGGAACAACTTTCAGCAGAAAGTCGAAAAAGTACAAAGCACCAGCCTGATTTCATCCCAGGAACAAACATTCTAAGACCTCAAATTAGTAAAAGACCTTCTGTTCCAACGTATTCGCGAACATCCACTAGAGAAGGGCCAAAATCATCGCCCAAACCAAAACTGGAGATAATGGAGGTAACACCACCAGGCACATTAGAAGCCGCATGGGGTTCCTACCTCGAGCACCCAGATGAAAGAATCATTAGAGTGGGCCCGGTAATAGTACATAAAGAATCTACTGCAGCATTTGACAAAAAACACAAAGGTTTATTACATGCCTCGCCTTTGGATGCTACTACAGCTACTATGCGGAGCAGGTCTGGAACAAGCTTGCTTTCGCAAATGGTGAATGGGGTGCCAGAAGTCAATTCTGAGAGTGTGGATGAGAGTATTGCAATAAGAGAGCCTCAGGAAATGGAGTTTTTGAGAAGGAAGAGCTTAAACAAAAGGAATAAAAAAAGCCTGGAACTGGACCGCTCATCCTCAATGGGTACCTCCAACAGATTATCGAAGCATTCTATTTTTAGAAAGTTGGGCTTGAGTCAAGTTGACAAGAAAGAAGACAATGAAGAAGAAGTAAACCAGTTCTCGCTCAATAAATCTCAAACGAGCACAATGGTTGTTACAACCCATGGAAGAGCCTTGGTGTTTGCTAGAAGGAGCTTAGAGTCTAATTATAAATTAATTTTGGAAGTGAAGCTAAGGTATCCTTTTATTCACTTTCAAGAATTGGTTTCCCCACAAAACAAATTCTCAAAATTTTTACCCACGGTTGGTGTTTTTGTTATTGCATCAACCAATCTGTCGTTTGTTTTTGAAGTAGAAAAGTATGATGTTGGCCAATGGACAGAAGCGCTTGCTAAATCTAAAGCAAATGAAATCGAAAGACAAAAACTTGCTCCTACTACTGCTGCTGCTGCTGTTTCTGCCGTGGGTAGTACATCTACATCACGTCATAAATCATCATCTGAAATGAAAACACCACCTATCAAGCAAAGTGCGAGAATAGCACAAGATAAATCGCCTCTGATATGGACATCATCACCCAGTGGCCCAAAAGTACCAAAAACAAAAGAATCCCCAATATCCAATGCAAAATCACCAAATGTTCTAGTGTCGGTGCCGGTGCACGAGACAACAAGACTGAGCAACATGTTAAAGAGTAAAATTCAAAGAGCTACTCCTAGAAGAAAACCACCTCCTGTTGTTACACCGAGTGAGCTCAACGTGCATACAGGTTTGCCCAAGAACTCTTCAGAGACTGGATACTTGCATGCGGCTCAATTGGCTGTGTCTCAAAACTCACACAATCCAATTTCGAATAACAGACATTCAAGCTTTACAAAAGAGGATGGTACTAAAGTTGACATTAGCCGCTACAAAGCTCCATATAACACGAGCAATTCGACGCTGCCTGTAATCACTGGTACAAACTCAAAACTCTTGGCAAGAAGTCTGAGAAAGTAGTAGTAGTAAATTGTAATAACAAAGAATTGTGTATGTATATATTTATACGAGGGGATTTATAGTAAGGTTTTTTTTTTCGACACTATCGAGCAGCACTGACTACACTGACTGTACTGACTACACTGACTGTACTGACTATACTGACTACACTGACTGTACTGACTGTACTGACTGTACTGACTGTACTGACTGTACTGACTGTACTGACTGTACTGACTGTACTGACTGTACTGACTGTACTGACTACACTGACTACACTGACATTATCTTGCTCTGCTCGATAGTGATAGTGTCGGGAAAAAGCGGCATATCTAAAATTAACAATAGCAATATAAACTCCTATTTTCTAAGCTCGTCGTTTCTAGTCACATTTTTTCCCTTTGCTCTTAGCACAAAAGAAGAAGGGAAAAAAAATAGGGTGGGAACAGAACAAGATCACTATCAAGCGAAGCGAGATAGTGGAGCAGTAATGACTAGCTTGTTACAACACTATCGAGCAGAGCGAGATAGTGTCGATAGTGTCGATAGTGTCCGTGTAGTCAGTGTCTGTGGCAGCTAGTGTCTGTGTAGTCAGTGTTTATGGCAGCTAGTGGCTGTGTAGTTATTGTCTGTGGCAGCTGGTGTCTGTGTAGTCAGTGTCTGTGGCAGCTAGTGTCTGTGTAGTCAGTGTCTGTGGCAGCTAGACACTATCTCGCTTCGCTTGATAGTGTCGCTCGATAGTGTCGAGACAACAAAAGAAAGGAAAAAAATGGTGGGGGGGGTGGAAAGGGGGATGAGACAAAAAAAACCATCACGTGCTGCTCGACCTTATTAGGGTATGAACCACCCTCAATTGTAGTTCAATGAGGCATCAGTGAAAAATAAAATACTTTCAACTCTTTAACCAAAAAAAATTTCAGAGCGATACTAAAAGAACAGAGAATAAGGTCCCTGATTCATTCAAATATCATTATACATACACATTAACAATGGCCAAATTCATAAAATCAGGTAGAGTAGGTATGTAAATATTTCAATTATTTGGAACTTAATCCATCGGAGATGAGTTAAAAGTCGTTAATGATGGAAGGAGGAAGTAATTAAAGGCATAAGAAATAACTTTAAAGCTTTTGAAGGGATATCATTCATTTGATTAAGACCTTTGCACATGGACACACGGATTTGTTTATTTATATATCCTTGCATTTTTTTAACTTCTAACATCTCACCCCCTCCCCTCCCCCCCCTTCCGTTTGTTTGGGTCCGACACAGGCTCATTGACGGAACTCGAATGAATGAATTTGTTGACTAACGTTTTCTTGTTTTTTTTAGCTATCGTTGTCCGTGGACGTTATGCTGGTAAAAAAGTAGTCATTGTGAAACCACATGACGAAGGAACCAAATCACACCCATTCCCACACGCTATTGTTGCAGGTATCGAAAGAGCACCATTAAAAGTCACCAAGAAGATGGATGCTAAGAAGACTGCCAAGAGAACCAAGGTAAAGCCATTTGTCAAATTGGTCAACTACAATCACTTGATGCCAACTAGATACTCATTGGACGTTGAATCATTTAAAGCCGCCGTCTCATCAGAATCATTGGAAGAGCCATCACAAAGAGAAGAAGCTAAGAAAGTTGTCAAGAAAGCATTTGAAGAGAAACACCAAGCAGGTAAGAATAAATGGTTTTTCCAAAAATTGCACTTTTGATTCTATTATTTAGTGTTAAAGATGTGTAATTTACGTGTGCGTTGGTGCGTTGGTGTGTGTTTTTACGAATGACGAGATGGTGAAAGCATAAAAATGTCAACTTTGTATAGTATGAATTGAAGTAGTTTTTAATATTAATGGGTTCAATTTTTTTTGCAAGGTCAACTTCTCGTATTACCAACATTTATGTATCCACCCTCTCTATATGTTACAGTTTGAGAGATGCCCGGTAGCGTTTTCATATTGTTTTTGAGCTGAGTTGGTGTGAAAAATTAAATTCTGAACAACCTTGGGCTAACTAGATGGCCCACTTCTAAGCCCTAAGTAGTAAAGTCATGTCTTTGGAGGATCAAGCGGCTGGTTTGAAAATTCGAGAGGATCAGCATGAACAAAAGATAACTCCCTGGGAAGTTGAAGGTGCAGTAGTCGATGGTAAAGCCCAAAGTATAGATTATGACAAGTTGATCAAACAGTTTGGAACAAAGGCGATATCACCCGAAACTTTGACAAGGTTTAAAGAGCTTACTGGCGAAGAGCCACATCCGTTTTTGAGAAGGGGTGTTTTCTTTTCTGAGAGAGACTTGTATAAGATTCTAGATCTATACGAGCATGGTGAACCCTTCTTTTTGTATACCGGTAGGGGTCCTTCGTCAGACTCGATGCATTTAGGTCACATGGTCCCTTTCATATTCACCAAGTGGTTACAAGATGTATTTGATGTTCCTTTAGTCATTGAGTTAACTGATGACGAGAAATTTTTATTCAAGCAAAAGCTAACAATTGATGATGTCAAACAATTTGCTGTTGATAATGCCAGAGATATTATCGCTGTTGGCTTCAACCCGGAAAATACATTTATATTCTCTGACCTCAAGTACATGGGTGGTGCTTTTTACGAAAATGTAGTTAGAACATCTCGACAAATCACAACTTCCACCGCCAAAGCTGTGTTTGGGTTCACCGATAGTGATTGCATCGGTAAAATTCATTTTGCCAGTATCCAAATTGCCACTGCTTTTCCATCATCATTTCCCGATGTTCTTGGGTTACCTCCCAAAACACCGTGCCTTATACCGTGTGCCATTGATCAGGACCCTTATTTCCGCGTTTGTCGTGATGTTGCAGATAAATTGAGGTTCTCCAAGCCTGCGTTAATACATGCGAAATTCTTCCCTGCGTTACAAGGAGCGTCCACAAAAATGTCAGCTTCAGATACGACAAGCTCGATATTTATGGGTGACACTCTGAAACAAATTCAGAAGAAGATCAACAAATATGCATTTTCTGGTGGACAGGCATTAATGGAAGATCATAGGAAATATGGAGGTAACCCTGAGGTAGATGTTGCTTTCCAGTATCTTTCTTTTTTTGTTGATGATGATGCTAAATTAGCTAGATTGGCTGAAGGTTATAGAAAAGGTGAAATTTTGTCAGGCGAAATGAAAAAGGAATGCATTGAAGTCTTGCAAGAGTTTGTGGCAGACTATCAAAGCAGAAGAGCAAAAGTGGATGATGCCGTTGTTGATAAGTTCATGACACCTCACAAGTTAGTCTACGGGCAAAAAGTGAGGAAAGTAGCGCCAAAAGAAAGGCAAAAGAAGTAATAGAAATAGAAGATGATTAAAGTAGTAAAATGATATGATCCTCATTGTCTTTAAAGTAATAAAATGATATGATCCTCATTGTCTTTAAAGTAATTTTTTGACATTCTCAAGTATAAAAGTTAGTTTTGCTAGGTCATTTTCTTCGACTTGGTCGCCCTTGCCAAGCCATCTGGTTCCAATTGATAGTATTGTTTCCTTTGGTTTCTGTGTGGATATCAACTTGGCCACTTGACCAGCAATTATGGCTATTTTCATATTTGCATGGTCACCAATTAGTAGTTGCGGCTCGATCTGAAAATCGTATTCATTTTCTATTGAGTCATCATTTTCGTTGAGATCCATCATTGACTCGTAATTAATTGTTCTTTTTGTTGAAATGGGTAATTTAAAGGTTGTATCCAAGACTCCATCAACAGATATATTAAGTACAAGCTTATTCTGGAATTCCAACAAATGAAAGAAAAATTGCTCATTTGACTTGGAATTGGGAAATGTAGCCGTTTGTGTTTTATCAAATTGCAAAGAACCGCTCCTCATTGCTAGTAGAAGGAAGAAGAACAAGAGCGAAAGCGGAAAAAAGAATAGACCAAAAGAGGACCAGAAAGACCAAAAGGAGACCAAAAGGAGACAAATAGCAGACCAAAAGGAGACCAACAGCAGACCAAAAGGAGACAAATAGCAGACCAAAAGGAGACCAATATTAGACCAATATTAGACCAAAAGGAGACCAATATTAGACCAACAGTAGACCAATATTAGACCAAAAGGAGACCAATATTAGACCAACAGTAGACCAATATTAGACCAAAAGGAGACCAATATTAGACCAACAGTAGACCAATATTAGACCAAAAGGAGACCAATATTAGACCAACAGTAGACCAATATTAGACCAATAGGAGAGGCTACTTTTTTTCTCTCACAGTAATTACGGGTGAAAAGAAGAGAAAATTCAATGTTCCAAAATTCAATTTTCTCCAGCGTGCAAACTATTAACCTACTCACTATTAAACCTTTTGTGCTAATTACTGATTATAATTAAAAGAAAATAAAATCAGTCATCCGTTTAACGTTTTCCTTCATTAGCCACAATGTCAATTCAATGTCTGAAAAATTGATTGTCCAATGAAAGCGACAGAAAAAAATATGAGAGGTTTGAGGCGTTTTAGAGTAAAGCTCATCTCATCAAACCACCTGTTTAGGAAAAAAGAGTTTTTTCAAGTTTTCCTTAACACCACCCACAAGTCTCTGTTGAGAGCCATACACGTCATCGCCGACTCTCGCCCAGTCATCTCACAACTTGTCTTGTAATTTGGTGGGAAAAAAAAAAAAAAGAACCAACACTACAAATACGGCATTAGTAATTTTTCATTATTAGGTGACACAAAAGAAAAAAAGTGAAAAATTCGGCTTATTCTATTCTTCAATATCTACTTCGATCCGATATACGGAGACTTGGATTATTGTTATTTGATCGAACCTGGTCTATTTATAAGGAACCCTACAACTTTTAGAATAGGGAACAGGTACTAACATTTTTTTGACAGTTTTTTCTTTGCTTTTCCAATTTTTTTTTTCTTTTTGCAACTTTTTATTTATAATCGTTTAAGGCATTTAGATAATCGCTTGATGGCAGAGGTATTTGCACAAACTGAGAAAGCATTAGATGCTTTCAAAAATGGTGAATTTTTGGTTGTGATGGATGATGAAGACCGTGAAAATGAAGGAGATTTGATTGTAGCTGCTGAACTAATAACTCAGGAAAAGATGGCTTTCCTAGTGCGTTATTCTTCAGGGTATGTTTGTGTGCCGTTATCAACTGAACGAGCAGACCATTTGGATCTACCATTCATGTTACCCAATCGATCAGATAGACACGGAACTGCTTATACTGTAACTTGTGACGTTGCCGAGGGAACAACAACAGGTATCTCGGCACACGATCGGGCTTTGACCGCAAAAGCTTTGGCCGATCCAAATTCGAAACCAGACGATTTTATCAAACCTGGTCATGTCTTACCTTTGAGAGCCGTCCCAGGATTGTTGAAAAAGAGAAGAGGTCACACTGAAGCTGCAGTTCAGTTGTGTGAGTTGACCGGATTACAACCTGCCGGAGTCATTTGTGAATTGGTACGAGACGAAGATGGTTTAATGATGAGGTTGGATGATTGTGTTAAGTTTGGAAGAGAGCACGGTATTAAGCTTATTACAATTAAACAACTATTGGAGTATATCGATAAGAAAAGTTTAGACTCGAATTGATAACTTGTGAAAGATAATTAGAAAAGTGAAATAATATATATATATATATATATATATAAAATGGGACACTCAAAACCTGTTATTTACTATTTCAAAACCAATTGCGCTCTTCTTTTACCGCTCACTTCGTCCTTGATAGACTTGATATCAACCTTAACTTTATCAAACACACCAACGGTTCTTTTCTTTCCCTGAAAATCTGTAAAAGATAACTCGTATTTGTCCTCGTCGTAATTAGCACTAGTGACATCACCCATACTTTCTAGTTTGATTAGCGCTTCATACCCGAATTTGGGAACCAATACTACAATACCGTTATTGAAACTCCTGATAACATAACCCTCGTGTTCGGTTTCGTTATTTCTCATAACTTGCCCGACATAATATTCTATACTTGCCCTTCCCGCAAATTGGGCATTCCTATGACGTTTATTTATATTCTTAACAATCATTTCCATCTTGCTTTTGTCTCTATGACTCAAATCCAAATTTTCATAAGCAATGGCACCAGCTAGTTGCCTGTGCACAACTATATCACAATACCTTCTAATTGGTGATGTGAAATGGGTGTATATATCTACAGCTAAACCATAGTGCTTGAATTCAGGGTATCCGTAAGAGCCGGAGGGGAAGTACTCGGCAGCCACCATACATCTAGTGGACATGATTCGGACTAATGTGTTAAAATATGGGTCAGCTGGATCAACGCATCTGTCTAACGAATCTGCTAAAGCCTTTGAGGATTCCAAGGAAATAGACATACCATTTTTTCTGACATTCAACATATTGTTCAACAATGCAAAATTCGTAGCAGGCGGAGCAGCATGTCTTCTCAACATCGCGGTTTGAGGGTATGCATCATAAATCTTTCTAGCAACAGATATATTTGCAAACAACATAAACTCTTCGACAAGAGAATTTGTTTCCAAAGCCTTTTTGATTTCAACTTCTTGAGGGTCTGAAGTTTCACTGTCCATATGCACTTTAACCTCAGGAGATGCCAAGTTCAATGCACCCGCTTCCAATCTTTTTTGTTTCAACTTTTTGGACAAACGCAACAAAATTCTCATGGAATTTGTCAAGTCATCTTGTTGTTTTGGGTCATCTATGCGTAATTGAGCTTGTTCATAAGAAAAAGCTTGTCTTGATTTGATAACCGACTTCATGAATTTGATATTAATAATGTTTGCATTCTCATCAACTTCCCAAATGACGCTAAATGCAAATCTGTCCACAAATGGCTTTAAAGAACAAAGGTTGGTTCCTAGCAACATTGGCAACATATCGATTCTTTTGTCTACCAAATAAGTAGAGGTTCCACGCGACGCTCCCTCTTGGTCCAACGCCGTTCCTGGTTTGACAAAATTTGTGACATCGGCAATATGCACACCTACTTCGTAGTTTCCATTAGGTAGTTTCTGTGCATGCAAGGCGTCATCAATATCAACACAATTGGGTGGATCAATTGAACAAACCAATTTATCGCGTAAATCTACTCTTTTGGCCAAATGTGCATCGGTATTGTTGTTTTCCATATCTGGCACAACCCAGTTGTCCCCTTCCTTTGGTAAACAGTCTAACACACTTTTGGAAAATGGACGATATTCTACGTCATGTTCCAATAGTAATGCCTCAGTTTCTGCCTCGGCACTTTCAATCTCTCCCAATGCTCGTACAAAATGTCCATTTGGGTATTTCGAAGTACTGGGCCAAGAGTCAACTACAACAACGATCCTCTGTCCCAAGTATTCCTTTGCTTTTCTCGTTCGCATTCTAATTTTGGGCAATGTTTTATCCATTAAAACAACAAAACAACTCTTTGCTATATTACCGCTATCGTCTTGACTAACCGAAGAAGGCGCAATCTGCCCAACATAATACCTCCATGATCTCCTCATTATTCCAACAACTTTGGCTGTTGGCTGGAGCCGCTTCTCATCATTTGCTCTAGACGATTTCATTGCTTCTTGAGCTAAAAGTAATCGCTCTTTGTCTGATATTATTGTGGTGTTAGTTCCTCCCATTGCATTATCCTCATCGCCTCCGTCGTCGTCATCAGCATTATCATTTGACCCTATAGCAGTTTCTTCAATGATTGTTGAGGAGGGTTCTTTCCACTTATCTTTTGGAAGCAACTCCACTATTACAGAGTCTGAATTGAATGCTCTATTTAAGTTCTTAGATCCTTGAATAAGTAATGGTTTCTTGAATGCAGGTACATTAACTTCACCTTGCAAATAGTTGTATGGGGAAATATTCAATATACCTTGATACAATGTCCCGTTTTTGATTCCAGCCATTATTCTCGCATTAGAATAATACTCAGGAAACGAAGTTTCGTCAAGTCCCTTTTCAAACAGCTGAAAACTCAAATCTGTGGGGATCAAGTCTTTTAAATCGTCTCCATTGGGTAAGATATCGAAATACTCCGCCAATGACTTGGCATTCAAATTTTCTGCTTTTGCCTTGTTTCTATTGTCCACATCACTGCAAACAAATACCACTTCAATATTTGGCAAATGCTCCTTATACCAAGATGCAACTTTTCTAATCGCCCTATCATTTCGGTCATTAATTGTCTCATTCTTGTTCCTCGTCACGTATGTCGTTTCATTATACTCATTGTGGAAAACGACAAATCTTTTATCTTCCAGCTTGACTAAATTTCTTAATCTTTGGTAAAGTGGGAAAGATCTATTTTTCACTTCCTCTAATACCGTCTGTGGTACAATCACGTCAAAAAAGCATTGCGTATTTTCTAGCAAGTCCATAGCATGTAAAATGATATTTGTATCCAACACCACATAATGCGGCTCGCCCTTAATCGTTTTGGCTGGGTTAGCCGATAAAATGAATTTAGGTAAGTCACCTTTTGCGTTGGGTTTGATAATATTTTGGCAATGTTCACAAGCAAGTGAGTAACAAGGAATATCGTTTCTCAAGTAATGCTCACGAACAATCTTCAAAGCACCGCCATTTCGCGACCTCACAAACACCTTCGAAGTAACACTAAGGCCAACAGACAACCTCTTTCTATTCTGAACCAAAGTCATTCAACCAACAACTGACGACAATTCCTCTATGCTAAGCTATCAAATATAAACTGTTCTTATTCAACCTTCTCTTTGCTTTGCGATGAGCAAAAAGAGAGAGAAGAAAAAAGAAAAAAGGAAAAAGAAAAATCGGTGCCACTCAGAGATGAAAGGAAAGGAATCGACACTATCGAGACCGAAGCGAGATGGTGGAGCAGCACTGACCGATACTATCGATAAAGGAAGTGGGGCGTAGGAAGTAGGGCGTAGGAAGTAGGGCGTAGGAAGTAGAGCTTATGTAGTAGGGAGTAGAGCTTATGGAGTAGAGCTTATGGAGTAGAGTAAAGAAAGTAGAGCTTATGGAGTACACGGATTTCATTGCATCCTTACACACGCTGGTGGCAGAGGCAGCTAGTGTACTCCACTATCTCGCTCTGCTCGATAGTGTCGCTCTGCTCGATAGTGTCGCTCGATAGTGTCGCATCTAATACCTCTATTTAGACAATCCATACAGATAACAACTGGGAAAACTAGATGAAACCTTGAGCTTTTTTGAGTTGCTTGATCTAGGTGTTTCTTCTTCTTCTTCTTCTAATTGGTCGAGACTATAATAACTGTCAAAGGAATCCGAGGTTGTGGGTATAAAGAAAGAAGATGTGGGCACAAACATCTCATCAGTATCATCATCTTGGTTATCTAGGGCCGACTTGAATACATTAATGTTATCGTTACCATCAGTCGGGGACAATGCATTGTTGTCAAAGTTCATCATATCGTATTTCGCAAATGACACATTGGGCCTACCTCCTGAACCATATCCAAAATTGTCACGTTGATGACGTCTCATGTTTGGGTGTACAATTGCACTTGAGAAAAGCTCAGGGTTCCCAATAGTTTGCGTAGTTCCCACAGGAGGGATGATAATGCTGTTTATTGCCGATTGTGGAGATACCAAAGATGGCGGGAATCGATGGTGTTGAGCAGAAGAAACCGGTTTTCCTTTGTATGAGCTTGAATTCAAGGAAATCGGGGTCGAGGTGATGTCAAACCGAGACTCATTGGACGATGAGGAGAAAGATGTAATGTCTCGCTTGATTTTGAATGGTTTACTGATTTTCGATTTTGGATTCGATTTTGTTGGATATAGCGAGTTTAAATACATTGAATCATTGTTGGATGGCACGCTATGTTTGTAATCGTGATGGTAATGCTTCTGTTGAGGAATGGGTCCACTAATTGATTGTTTTAGCAAGTCCTGTTTTGTTTCTTTTCTTGATGTTCTTGATAAACTTTTGAAAAACCGACCAAGTTTGCTTTGGCAATGATGTTGTTGTTGATGATGTGAGCTTTCTCCACCGTCCGATGACGAGGACGGTGTTATTGAAGTGAAAACCCTTGCTTCCAAATTATCATGATCATCAAGATTTACATTATGATCATTGAGCTTTACATCATGATTATTGGGCTTTGCATCATAACTATTGGGCTTAACATAACTATTGGGCTTAACATAACCATTGGGCTTTACAGTAGTTTCCTGTAAAAAGTGTCGACTTTTCTGTGATCTTTGACTGTGAAGAAACAGGTAATTTGTCGTTGCAGAACTGGTATCGACATCGACATATAATTGTTTTCTTTGGAAAAGTGGAGGGTATCTACTGATCAAAGTAGGGTCTCTGATTTCCTCCAACGTCAGTAGATCTAACTTTGTTGCACTCAAATTCAAAGAGCTGTTCATTATTACTTTTATTCTTTTGAAACCCTTGATAAAGCCACTTGCTCACTAGTTTCCCTTCAGATGGTTAATTTCGCACATAAAATTGGCCAAAATTTAATTTTTCGCAGCCATTTAAAAAAAAAGCAATTTTCTTTTTTCTGTTATGTTTGGTAGCGCTTTTGAAAAATGTTATATTCTATCATCCAATCACAATCAAAGAAAGGAATATTGACCGCGACACACTAGCGACACTAAAGACGCTATCAACACTCTCAACACTCTCAACACTCTCAACACTATCAACACTCTCAACACTCTCAACACTCTCAACACTATCGACACTATCGAGCAAAGTGAGATTGTGGAGCAGTACCGACTACACCGACACTTTAGACATTTCAGAGGTGAAAGAGAAATGGTGTAAGAATATAGAGTGCAAGGATATAGACTGCAAGAATGTAGAGAGTGTGCAAGAATGTGTATAGTGTAAGAATGTAGAGAAAGAGTATCAAAACCCATCTTTCTGGTCAAAAAAACGATTGTTTTGATATTATGCAGAGCATTTTGTTACAATTGAATTGCTTCTGTTTCGCCGCGATAAGTCGATGGAAAGTTTAGTGCGTATTCCTCAACCCCCCCTTCAGTAAAACTTTGATGAAAAAATGAACAGGAAAGGAAAAAAATTAATTGGTTCACAACGAGAAGAGATTCAAGACCTTTTCACTTTTCTCCAATTTTTCAGTATCTCTAGAAGGTGATTGAATAAATATTTGAAGTATACGAAATACAAAACACGAAAATGGGTGCAGCTTATCAAATAATGGGCAAAACTGTTCAACCACATCAACTAGCTCTTGCAACTTTGGGAGCTGTGGTACTATTAGTTATGCCAAAACCATGGAAGGTTAAACCAGCACACCCATCAATTAACGCATCTTCGCCTCAAGAGGAAAAGTTTGTTAAGGCATGGTTAGAAAAACACCAAAAAACAGAAGAAAAGCACTAGTAGTAGTAGTAGCACTAGCACTAGCACTAGCACTAGCACTAGCACTTGTCTACACCAAAAAAACACAAGAAAAGCACAAGTTGTAGTGCTAGCACTAGCACTAGCACTTGTCTATACCATATATTATAGTTGGAAAAAAATATCGTCAACGATGGATAGAAGCCTGATTCTTGAAAAGTAGAAAAATGATTGTTTATAGCTGAGACACTTGAATAAACGCATTAATTATTCAACCAAAGAATCTACGTAGGTTACCTACGTTTTCATTTTGCGAATGGAAGGAAAATTGGTAGGTTACCAAAGAGACTTCCATTTCTCACCAAGAAACGTCGAGAAAAGTGGGGGATTGAGAGAAGAGTGTTTTTTTTTGTTTTTTTTTTTACCTCTACCTATCTTTGCCTTTATATCTTCCTCAGTAGAATGGCTAGAATGTTCCTCCATTTTCCTCCTTCTCTTTTCTTGTCTTTTCTTGTCTTTTCCTCTCCCGTAGCTCAGTTTGAGTTGGTGTGGAATTTTTCAGTGTTCATTTTTGTGTAAGGCTCATCTCATCTCCTTAGCGAAAAATTATTCAGAACTTCTTTGTTTTTATAAACTATCATCTTTAATCTTTCCCTATATCATTTAAAGCCATGTCGGCCATATACAAAGCACTACAGTCGAAACAGCTGAAGGAGTCTCTGGATAAATCCAAGCACATTAACAGGCAAAGACTTTTAGTTATTTCGTCTCGAGGTATTACATATAGACATCGTCATTTGATACAAGATTTGTTAAACCTTTTACCTCATGCCAGAAAAGAACCCAAATTCGATACTAAGAAGAATTTGTACCAGTTAAATGAAGTTGCAGACTTGTACAATTGTAATAACATATTCTTTTTTGAATGTAGAAAGCACCAAGACTTGTATCTTTGGATCTCAAAACCGCCAAATGGACCAACTTTAAAATTCCATATTCAAAATTTACACACTTTAGATGAGTTAAACTTTATTGGTAATTGTTTGAAAGGTTCAAGGCCAATATTGAGTTTTGACAAACTGTTTGAATCCAATGACCATTTTAGATTATTAAAGGAGATGTTTACCCAAACGTTTGGTGTGCCTCCAAATGCAAGAAAATCAAAGCCATTTACAGATCATGTAATGACTTTCTCCATAGTTGATGGAAAAATATGGATTAGAAATTACCAGATCAGCGAAACATTAGAAACTAAAGAAGATGACGACAATACAAAAGAGGTTGATACAGACGGGTTGAGTTTGGTGGAAATTGGACCGCGTTTGGTATTGACATTGATCACAATCTTGGAGGGTTCATTTGGAGGTCCCAAGATATACGAGAACAAAGAGTATGTATCACCCAACTTTGTTAGAGCTCAAGTTAAACAAAAAGCAGCTGAACAAGCCAGAAGTAGAGCCGATGCTTCTCTAAAGAGGAAATTAAAAAAGAGAAGTCAGGTATTGACACAGGACCCTTTGTCAAATGATGCATTATTCAAAGAGTGAAAATAGTTAAGTTGTAAACACCATTTGTTCAATAGAGCATAGACCAAAAAAAGTTTTGTAATGTTTTACTCTTTTCTCATTCTACGTTATTCATGGTTTTCATTAATAAATACACATTTTTTCTAAAAGACTCAACAACCTCAACAGCTGAATGTTTCAAAACTGCTGTTCATCGTCTGGAGGGCTTCCAAATTCACCTTCAAAAATCGTGGCGCCGCATTTGCGCCTACTCTCAACAATCATACACTCTTCCATCTCTAAAATGCAGCTAGCACTAGGTCGATCAAAAGGTTTTGGCTTTAACATTCTGTTCACTAAACGGTCTAAAACTTTCAAATCACCATCGACTAAAAACATAGGCGCCCACGGAGGTACCAATTCTCTAATTTTTAACTTAGACGATGAGTCACTGATTTCTTGGGTTGATGCCGATGCCAATGCTGCCGCTGTGGTGGTGGTGGTGGTGGAAGTGGAGCTTGTCATGGTCGCTGTTTTCGTTTTCACAGGAGGATTGAGCGATAACGAGTTTCCCGAAGAGCTAAAATTTGTACTTAAAGAACTGCTCATTTCTGGTTTATGTTGTAAGAACATCGATATGTTATCACTTGATAATTGGCCCGCATCGCTCAAGTCGCCGCTTCTCAATTTCCTCCATGGTGTACCATTATCAGGCAATATTATATTTGCGGCAATCTCCAAAATAATCAAGCCAAGACTGAAGATGTCAGCGAATGGAGTATAAATCTTATCATTAATTAATTCAGGAGCAATGTAGTTTCTATCTCCCTCAAGATCGAAATCCTTTTCAGTAATTGGCAATTTCGTTGCCAATCCAAAATCACCAATTTTCAAATTACCTTCAAATGTGATGAATATATTTGAAGGTTTCAAATCCAAATGCAAGTAGTTTCTCAGGTGAATAAATTTCAATCCATTTAGTAGCTCTATCATTATCTTCCATATTCTAAACTCATCAATCTTATAGTGTTTGTTTTCTTCCAAAAAATCAAACAAGTTACCACCCTCGCAGAACTCAGTCATGATGTAATAGTAATCGTTAAAGTCCCAAGCTTCAATGAAATATACTAAATACTCCTTGCCTTCTTCTTCTTCTTTCATATTTTCTGTATCACTTTCTTTGATAGCATTGAGTGACCTCAAAGCATCAATTTCTCGCAATATTGCTTTTTTCTCAAGCTTCCCAATTACTGGTTTCTTAGTCCTCTTGATGGCAAATTTTTCCTCATTAAAAATACACTCAAATGCTATACTAAACTCTCCTTGGCCGATATATTTAAGGTTTCTCATTCCAAACTTGTTCACCAAGTGCTCGTCAATCTTGTTTGGATAAACTTGCTGCTGGCGATGGAAAAACAGTATTTGATCATCTTCATTCAATGTTGCCAATTGAGTGGCTTGTGGTGGATGGTTAGCGTCTAAATCCATATCTCTTTCAAAAACCAGATCAATTGGCGTGGAAGGTCCATGATCCCCTTTTTTCAACAAAAACTTGTTGCCATTTAGTATATTGATTTTCCAATTTGGTTTACCGCCCACTTTGGCTGATGACAACGATGACTGTTGCATAATGGAGAAGGGCTGCTTTGTCGGCGTTTCTGGTATCAATGGCTCATCACCATCCAATTCAAAGCTTGAAGTAAATATGACCTCCACATCATGGTGCGCACTTCCTTTACTGTCTCCCTTTGATTCAGTTGGCGTTGGTGCCTGCTTAAAATAGCTATGATTTTGAATTGAGCTATTACTAACGCTAGTGTCGTCATATTCCACAATAGGCACATCTCTTCCTAATTCGATGGAATGATCTGTTTCGTTGTGTTCAGGTGCATGGCTCACAATTTTGCCAAACAGCTCATCGAAATGAGGATGCAAAGGTTTATTGGTGTTTATCATTGTTAAAGGGTTTCTCTTCATAGGAGTATCTGGCGGTAGCATTCTATCTGATATCTTACTAAACGCACTGCTTTTCTTCATCAACCCACTCGAGGTAAATGCTGTTTGGAGTGGTCTAACTGATTTGTAGGATGCGCTATTTTCTTTATCGTCAAATGGTGTTTCTGAAGCATTCACTGGAGCCGAAGCAGACGGCCGTTGTAGTCCGCCATTATTGCTTCTCGTGTTCAAACTTGGAGATGAGCCATTATACAATTTAGTCAATGACTCACCCAAGGTGGAAAGTTTTCGATTCTTTGACGGGCTCTCTATATCAACATCAACGTCAACATCAATATTGTCGTATTCTTTTTCTGCCATCACCACATCAGAGTATTCTTCATTATGCGATCTGTTGAACCCGGTACCTTCACTATCAGGTATGTGAGTTTTTCTCAACTTATTGGCTTGTCCAAACATTCGAGAGCCAAATCCATTTGATGGTACTTCTGGGTATTTGTATGGCGATCGGATTGAGTCATTACCTTGATAAAACTTGAAGCTTTTGCGACTCATGCGGTGCCCTAGATTGGAAGGTGAATATAAGGTTGTTTGTGAAGGAGAAGATCGGCTTTTGTGAGGTGACGGTGATGGAGACTGGCTGACAAGTTTGTGCGGTCGCTTGAACTGTCCTACATTAACCGAAGCAGGGGTCTTTTTCGAAACGTGTACAACTGGCGATGAATAATCAATCATTTCTTGCACGTCGATTTCATTTAGATTTATATTATCTATCTCGTCAGGCATTTTGTCACCATCTATAGTTCGTAAACTCGATTCTATTGAGAGGTTGAGGAATTTTGAAGACCTTTTTATAGAACTTTGTGAGTTGCTTGGCAATCTTATTGTAGAGCTGGAGGAATCCACATCTAAAGATGGTCTCTGTCGGTGCCTAGTGCTTGAGGTGGTGCTATTATAAAGAGATTTGGTTTTCTCATGCGGTAGGTCTTCCCTTAGGATAGTTTCCTGTTTTTTCACTTTCAACACATCTTCATCATTTTCATTGTAGTCGTTATCGTCGTTATAATCATCAAAGTCATCATCATCATCATTATCATCATTATCATCATCATCATCATCCACATCGGTGTCATTTGATGCATCAGTTTCATCAAGAAACGTGTCAATATTGTCATTGTTTAGGTCTTTCTTTACATTAAACGGAGGAGACTTGTTAATCGATTTTTTGTTATTGTTATTGTTATTGAGCTCATTGGGTTGGTTATTGTCATCCAAAATCAAGCTGTTAAAAGACCGAGAAAAATGGTGATTGGTATAGTATTCCAATTGCTGCAAGTAAGGAGCCTGCTGAGAATGAAGTTTCTTCTCCAGTATTGGTTGGTTATGACGACGCGGCGACGAGGTTGCTTGGTCCGTATGGGAGCCCTTGCCTCTTTTACACTTTGGGGTATCTATTGCTCTTGTTTGGTTCTCATTACCACCAGCATATCCAGGACGGGGTTGGCGGTCCCCTGTGAAGGATCGAAAATTCTTCATTACACACTCCCTCTCTTTCAGTAATAGAGTAGAGATGGGTTTGCTTAAACCTGGTGTGCTGAATGAAATATGGGCAACTAAATTGTACCTCAATATTTGTTTTGACTTTATTTTTCCTAATCAATTTTTCATTGTTTATATTTTGATGGCCTCGAAATTTTATCAGGCGCGCCTTATTTTTGTATGGCGTACGAATAAGGGGTAGGAAATTGGGGGGTGGATGATCGATTGATAGCCTATCAACTACACTCTCTATGTCTCTACTCTATATCTCTACTCTATATCTCTACTCTATATCTTTACACTTATTGTCTCCACTCATTGTCTACACTCATTGTCTACACTCTACACTCATTGTTTACTCTTTCTATAGACTATTTCGCTTTGCTCGATAGTCTATCTCTACTCTTTCCATATGGAAGAGGGGGATGGGAGAACATGAATAGTGAATAGCGGGTTATAATTTAGACTGAGGTGTCATTTTAATCGCAAGGTAAAATAAAAGGTACCAAGCCTCGCATTTCCGGTATTAAACTAAAACAAAACCCCAAGCAATTTATAGTCTATATCTATTCTCTTTTCTCTAGACTATCTCTCTTTTCTCTATAAGCTATCTCTACTCACAGAGGTTTTAGTTTAGTACTGGAAATGCGAGGCTGGTAGTGGACTATCAAGCAAATCGAGATAGTCTATACTACTCTCTCTACAGACTATCGAGGAAAGCGAGATAGTCTATACTACTCTCTCTATCTACTCTCTCTATTTACTCTTTCTATCTAGTCTTTCTGTTTACTCTTTCCATAGACTATCTCGCTTTGCTCGATAGTCTATACTACTCTTTCCATAGACTATCTCGCTTTGCTCGATAGTCTATCTCTACTCTTTCTATCGACTTGACTCGTTTCACTCGTCCAGTCTTCTTTTTTGCACCAATTTGACCAAAACCGAGCAGAGCGATCGACACTATCGAGCGAAAAAGCACGATTAGAGAAGATTGAAATGGAAAGAGATTTGACTTTAATACAGAAAGAGATTTAGCATGGAGAGGTTGTAGTATGGGGGCACTTGCATGGAGCAACTAGGTTTATAGAGAGGGGAGTTTTAAACTATCTGGGCGAGATTTAAACATGGGTGTAATATGATATACCCTTGGGTAGTAAACAAGTGTAGGTAGCCCCTTGAGAGTATGTGTCCTCTATGAACAGCATTATGATAATATGTTACTGGTTTCACTGCCAATTGAATTGAAAGAATTATCGAGCAAAGCGAGATAGTGGAGCAAGTATATCAGTGTAGAGATATGGGAGATGTAGACTTTTCAATTGGGAAGCATATTAGTGTAGAGAGAGTAGATATCTAAATTGGGAAGTATATGAGTATAGAGGAAGGGGTGTGACTAGAGTAGCCGAGATTAGTGAAGCCGAGACTGTCGACACTATCGTCTCTACCGAGCAGAGCGAGATAGTGGAGCACACTAGCTGCTACAGACACTATCGTCTCTACCAAGCAGAGCGCGATAGTGGAGCACAGCTGCCACCGACACTAGCGAAGCCGAGACTAGAGTAGATGAAGTATAGAAAGAAGAAGAGAAATGTAGATTAATAAAAATAGCTAAAAAATAGACTCAAAAGTAGAGTTGTTATTACAGTAGACCCAAAAGTAGAGTTGTTATTACAGTAGACTCATAAGTATCGAAACTAAATGGGTAATACGACAAATAGTAGAAATAATAAATCTAGTACAGATGATAGAGATGGCAATGTGACAATGTAACTAGAATGAGCCTTTGAGCCTTTGAGCCTTTGAGCCTTTGAGCCTTTGAGAAATGATATCTAATACAGATGACCGATATGGCAATGTGACTATATAACTATCAAGTAGAATAGAGTAAAGTAGTGTAGAGTAGTATCGGTAGAGTAGTATCTGTAGAGTAGTATCGGTAGAGTAGTATCGGTAGAGTAGTATCTGTAGAGTAGTATCTGTAGAGTGATCCACTATCTCGCTCCGCTCGATAGTGTTGATGGTAATTACAAATCCAACGGTTTTAATTGGTCAAATTAAAATCATAGATCTTCAATCAGATAAAAAAAATGAAATCAGATAAATAAGAAAAGGCGACATACAATGCCTTAGTAAAAAAGAATACATTGAGAAAACAAAAAATACGTGATTTGTTAGCAGCTTACGAATAGGTAACATAAAAGTTTTAACCTCTCTTACAATCGTAGGATCCAATGGAATGATTCAACATGCTCCTCTCCCCCCCTTCTCCTCTCCTCTACTGCTCCTCTACACACGGGATGTCACTTAGTAGCGACAAGTGAGAGTAGTCTCTGTATTTTCTTTTTTGAGATTTTTCACTTATACACTTTTAATGTTGATCTTAAAATAAATGTAGTTTCATAGCACACTCATATATGTACTAGTATAAGCACACACGCCACACGCCACCACATAAAACACACCTTATAAAAAACGAAAAAAAAATTATCCATTAGGCATTTAATTATAGCGATAAAATTAATACTTAACGGTAGTATTACCGATAAAAAAAAAAAGGCACCTTATTAAAGTTGGAATCAGTGTACTCGGATTTTTCCATTTGAAAAAGGTTTTTTTAAAGGATTACAATTCCAGCATCATTAACAACCATTTAAACCAACTCGAGATTCTTCTTTTCCAGATTACATCGGCTCATACTACGAACCACCTTTCCTTTTCAGATTATATCGGCACATACTAAGAAATACCTTTCCTTTTTTTTCCTTTTATGTACTGCATTATACGCTAGTAAGAGCAATGTCAAAAAAACATACTGAAGACAAGGTGATCTCGAGCTCCAATATCTCAACAAGTCCAACTCCAAATACTGAAGAGACTCGAGTCCGAGGAAGCGGCTCAATATCACCAAAAAGTCTGAATTTAACGACAGACGATGGACAACAATGTTCAAATTGTGGCACAACGAAAACTCCACTTTGGAGAAGAGCTCCAGATGGAACATCAATATGTAATGCTTGCGGCTTGTATTTGAAATCTAATAACTCCCATCGACCCGTAAACTTAAAGAGACCGCCAAATACAATACCAATAGCTAAGGAACAAGAAGGGTCATGTAAAGGTGACGGACGGTGTAATGGTACAGGAGGCTCCGCCGCTTGTAAAGGATGTCCTGCTTACAATAACCGAGTTGTTGCAAAACATGCATTAGAGAAACCAGGCACACATGAATTGAAAAATACTGATTCGACTCACATCAAATCGCTATCGTCAGAAAGTAAGCAAAGTGGCAGCGGTAGCGGGAGCGGAGAACAAAACGACTACGAGAATTCCCTCGCTATTGCATGCTATAATTGCGATACAACTATAACACCGTTATGGAGAAGAGACGACGCCGGAAATACAATATGCAATGCTTGTGGGTTGTTCTACAGACTACATGGCTCTCATCGACCAATAAAAATGAAACGTGCTACAATAAAGAGGCGTAAAAGAAACATACCTGAAAGTAAGTCCACTAAGGAAACAAAAGTTGCAAAAAAATCGACAATATCTTCGCACACTTGCACCTCGAGTACTCCGAACCAACAAGGAAATATGGCAGTTGCCTCTCTGGTTAAACCCTCACCTAATCTGTTGTCAAGTTCACCAAATATGAATATACTTCCACCTATTTATTATCCTCTTCCCTTCAACAGACCAGCCATCGGTACCAATATGCATTTGTCGACCCCTTCACCATCAATGTATCCAAGATATAACGGTAGTGGTCGTCTTCCAAATGGGCCAGGACCAGTTCCAGGACCACCACCACCTGCGACAGCAGCAGTAGCTCCTCCTTCTTCTTTTCCTCCTCCTCCCATGCCACTAGCTCAAAATTATCAACCTTTACCAAACACACAAAGCTTGTACCCGTCACCGCCTCAAGTCAAAATCAACATCCCTCCAATTAATTGTTATCTGGGAACTACATTGCCTCCAATCCATTCAGACTCCGCTTATATAAAATGCGACACACAGACGAAAAAGTTCTCAAAACCAATAGCCATTGATTTTACGGCAACTTATAGAGTTGAAAATAGACGATCAAATATTGATCACGAAGATAGTGAGAGATCTACTACAGCATTAACATTGAAACTGCCGAGCTCTAATAGCGAAGATAGCAAACCAAAAGGAAACAAAAAAGCCTTGACTATAGGAGGGTTACTTAACGGTTGAAGCATAAATAAAAAGAGAAAGAGAACTAAAAAGTTTCAACTTGTAGACCCTTTTTATTTTTAGTCGCTAGTAAGATTTAACATGCCATCTAAGTAGATTAAGATGAATATATATGTTAATTTTATGTTTCCCTATTTTGGAAATGGTGAGGCTTTTTGCGATGAGTTAAAAAAACTTTAAAAAAAAAAATGAAAAGAAAAAAAACATAACCTTAAGTGTAGAAACCTTGAGCTTGATTCTATAGAGACAAGATGGGATTGACAGGGAAGAGAAAACATGATGAAGATGGTGAATTACTGGAGAAGCATAAATTAAAATTGCAAAAGAAACAAGACAAGAAAGAGAAGAAGAAAGAGAAGGAGAAGAAGGAAAAGAAGAAGGAGAAGAAGGAGAAGGAGAAGGAGAAGAAGAAGGAGAAGAAGAAGAAGAAGGAAAAGGAAGAGGAGAAGAGAAACAGCAGCAAGGAGAAGAAGCAAAAGTCCGAAAAGACAGTTGAAAGTGCTCTGCTAACAGCGGACTCCGCCTTATCATCAGGATATATACAATCAACTAAATTGTCCAATCTTTCCCAATCAGATATAGATGAATTTTTATCACAGAATGAGGTATCAATCGAAGATCCCCAAAATCTCAATTACAGACCAATAATATCCTTTGAACAAATTCAACTTGAACCCAAAGTTTCTTGCAATCTTTCCAAATTTTCTAAACCAACACCGATTCAATCCGTATCTTGGCCTTTTCTTCTTGATGGTAAAGATGTAATTGGAGTAGCAGAAACAGGTTCGGGAAAGACATTTGCATTTGGAGTTCCTGCAATTAATAACATTGTTCGTACGCAAAATCAAGATTTGAGCGTCTTGTGTATATCGCCGACACGAGAATTAGCCTTGCAAATCTACGACAATTTACAAGATATAACGAAAGGAGTTGATATATCATGTGTTGCCATATATGGAGGTGTTTCTAAAGATGATCAAATTAAAAAGCTTAGAAAAGGCGCAAACGTAGTAGTTGCAACACCAGGTAGATTAGTTGATTTGATTAATGATGGGGCTATAGATTTGAGTCTGGTTACATATTTAGTTCTCGATGAAGCCGATCGTATGTTAGAGAAAGGGTTTGAAGAGGATATAAAGAGAATTCTTGGATCGACAAAGTCCGCTGGTAGACAAACATTGATGTTTACTGCTACATGGCCCAAAGAAGTTCGAGAATTAGCTAACAATTTCATGAATGAACCGGTTAAGATCACTATTGGTGACAGGGATGAATTAAGCGCCAATAAAAAAATTACCCAAATTGTTGAAGTTTTGGATGATAAGTTTGACAAGGAGAGGAAATTGATTTCTTTGCTTCACAAATATCAAGATGCAAATCATCAAGATAACAAGATTTTGGTATTTGCATTGTACAAAAAGGAAGCAACACGGATTGAAAATTTGCTCAAGCGCAACAGATTTACCGTTGCAGCTATTCACGGAGATTTGTCGCAACAGCAACGTACACAAGCATTGAATTCATTCAAGACAGGCGAATGCAACTTGTTGCTAGCGACGGATGTAGCGGCGAGAGGTTTGGATATACCCAATGTCAAATATGTGATTAATTTGACATTTCCCTTGACGGTTGAGGATTATGTTCACCGAATTGGTAGAACAGGAAGAGCAGGTAAAACAGGTATAGCACATACGTTTTTTACTGAAGACGAGAAACATTTGAGTGGTGCCTTGTGTAATATCTTACGAGGAGCCAACCAACCTGTTCCAGAAGCTTTATTGAAATTTGGTGGTCATACGAAAAAAAAGGCACATTCTGTTTATGGCGCATTTTACAAGGATGTCGATATGAGTAAAACGGCAAAAAAGATCAAATTTGACTAAGAACCCTACGACACTATCGATACTATCGAGCGAAGCGAGATAGTGACGCAACTCTAGATGCCTCCAACACTATCGACACTAGCTGCCTCCAACACTATCGACACTAGCTGCCACCGACACTATCGACACTAGCTGCCACCAACACTATCGACACTAGCTGCCACCGACACTATCGACACTAGCTGCCACCAACACTATCGACACTAGCTGCCACCGACACTATCGACACTAGCTGCCACCAACACTATCGACACTAGCTGCCACCGACACTATCGACACTAGCTGCCACCAACACTATCGACACTAGCTGCCACCGACACTATCGACACTAGCTGCCACCAACACTATCGACACTAGCTGCCACCAACACTATTTCTTCCACGACAGTGCTGGAGAATGTATAGAGAAAAGTACCGAGTAATTACTAATTGACAATATAAGTAGGACTTGAGAACACCCCAACGACACTACCTGCTACCGACACTATTGACACTAGCTGCCACCGACACTAGAGTAGATCCGAATTGTAAACACACAAACTTGTGAACACCCTGTCTTTTTTTCTCCAAGTCCAGGCTTAGAGGACTAAATTATTTACACTTGATAAAAATATCGTATCTCTAAAGCCGTCAATTCTACACTATTATTTTTTATGGGCTGTAATTTTACGTTATTTTTAGCTGTCATTTTTAGCTGTCATTCTATGTCATTCTACACTACAAAGTGCTGCTCCACTAGAGAGCAAAGCGACCTAGTGTCGCTCTAGTGTTATTCAAAGGGCTGCTCCACTAGCTCGCTTTGCTCTCTAGTGTCGCTCTAGTGTTATACAAAGTATTGCACCACTAGCTCGCTTTGCTCTCTAGTGTCGCTCTAGTGTCGCTCTAGTGTCGCTCTAGTGTTATACAAAGTGCTGCTGCACTAGCTCGCTTCGCTCCCTAGTGGAATCGTTGTATCCAAAATCACGCGTTAATCAGCCCCTTTTTTGAATTACGTGTTCAATTAGCTATAAAGCAACTAGATTAGTAATAAGAAATTAATCTAAATTAATCTAAAAGTTTAGTAGTAAAGTTGTATTGTATACCCCTTTCAAATTGGGATTTGCGACATTAAACTAAAACTCGCGACATTGTAAACTAAAATTTATGCCACATGTCCCCTTTTGAAAGGTTTTTTTTTCGCTTTGTTTTGCTTCTCTTTTCTTTTCTTCACCTTCACCTTCCATGACATCTGATAAAAGCAAGTGCGCGCTTTATTAAGCAGCGGAAAAAAACGGTTTTTTTTCCAAGAAAAATAAAAATAAAAATGAATAAATTTGTCTCATCATCAATAAAAAGGTGAAAAATTAGTTTCTATAGATAAAGTAGAAGAAGGAAAATCTAAAGAGCTTGTAGTTGGAAAAAGGAAAATCTACTAGAGAGCTTGTAGTTAGAAAAGGTTCAAGTGTTATTTATTTACTACAGCTGGCGAGAAGAATATTGACCTTCTCAGTACCATTTATAACTCCCCCTTGCCTTCTTGTTCTATAAAAGCAAAAAAAGCAAAAAATAATGCACATATTTGGCTTCATAATACTACTAATTAGCTGCGTTTTCGCCATTTCAGCTAGTGAATCCTCATCCAACCGCCATATACTTCCGAAACAACAATTTAATGCCTTTGACTCGCCCGAGTTTTGCTCACAAATCATCACTTCAACATGTAATACTACTTTTTCCTATATCGACAAGCTAAACAAAGAAATACGCCCCTCCTTGGCTGATCTAGTCAAGACATCGTATTTCCGTTATTTCAAGGTTGATTTGGACAAACAGTGTAAATTCTGGGACGCACAACACTTTTGCGCCACTGAAAACTGCGCAGTCGAAGTATTGGAAGATTTCAATTGGAGTCAAGTCACTAATGAAAATTTGAAACCCATGAAATTGGGTAAAATCAAGTTACCAGACTCAACTGCCTCGGTTCAAAACTCAATTGAAACCGAAAAGATTGCAACTTGTGAAGATTTGGATTATACTCACATAGACGATGGACACACATGTGTACATGTGAATTTGTTGAACAACCCAGAAAGATTTACTGGATATGGTGGAAACCAAAGTTTTGATGTTTGGAAAGCAATTTACTCAGAAAACTGTTTCCCAAATACAAATCCAATGTCAATGGAACCAAATCAAAAGAAGGAAAAATGCCGTGAAAAGAATTTGTTTTACCGATTAGTTAGTGGAATGCACGCATCCATTGCTGTACATTTGTCTAATGAGTATTTGGACTCGGTAACTGGTGAGTTTTATCCAAACTTGGATGTGTTTATGCAAAGAGTTGGTAAGTTTAACGACCGATTATCTAATATTTATTTCAATTTTGCTTTGGTTTCTCAAGCATTGGTCAAATTGAAAGATGTTTTGCCTTTGAGGGAATTCATTCAATCCGGATACGATGATATTACTCCAGCTCAAAAGGAACATTTACTAGCCAATAATGATACAGAGAGTGTTGATGTTTACGATGAGTTATTGTTGGAGGATATCATTCCCGCATTGGGATCAAATACAATGTTCAACACCTCAACTTTGTTTGATCTGAAAAAGGACCCTAATTTGAAAAACGAATTTAGAGCAAGATTTAAAAACATTTCGGCAATAATGGACTGTGTCGGATGTGACAGGTGCAGAATGTGGGGTAAGATACAGACTATTGGCTACGGAACAGCATTAAAGATTCTTTTTGAAGATGACTACGACAATTTGAAATTCAGAAGAATTGAAATTGTTGCATTGATCAATACATTGGACCGACTTTCCAAATCCATTGCTTCCATCAATAACTTCAAAAAGATGTATTTACAACATTTGAAAGATGTTGCTGATGGAATTGCTCAACCTGGAAATTACGACTCACTAAACTCGCAAAACAATAGCAACGGAGGCTTTCATTTCCCTTTTATCCAGTCTCCTGCGCCTGCATCTGCGCCTGCATCTGAACCAGCACCAGCACCAGCATCCAAATCCAAATCTAAATCGCACCTGGATCATAAATCCAGGTCTCACGAAGAACATAAAACACCAAACAAACAGTCACTTGAGGATCTCTACAAAATTCCAGCAAAAGACCGGACATTTACCCAAGAGTTTCGATTAGCTTTCCTGGAAGTGTTTGAAGCATTAAAGTTTGTTCTTGGTAGTTATAAGCAGTTTCCCGTTATTATGGGTAAATTCTCTATTGCTCAATTAAACCAGTGGTGGAACCAATTAATTGGGAAACCTCAAGTTTACGAATACAAGAGTGCAGTTGACGTAGAAGCTGAAGAGTACCACAGGCTCATCAAATCATAGCCCCTCCCCTTATCATACATACAGACAGACTTTTGCTATATAAAAACTAAATTGTTTCTTCTAATAAAGAACTTCATTTGCTAATAGATAGAAAAAAAAAAATGTAGTTGGTACTTTTTTTTGATTTTGATTTTGATTTTGATTTTTTACTTTTATGATATGAACCCTTGTGTAAGTTGTTTGACGGAGATTCATTGATACGAGTCGCTTGCAAGCATATGGTTTTACGACCGAACGCTTCCGCTGTGTCATTTTCACTACTCCAAACATGCTAGTACTCCCGTGGTGAGGTGTATGCATGTATATTTATTTATTCTAATCATAGCACTTCAAGTACTTGTAATAGAAGCAGACCATGAATCTCCAGCGGCAGATACGCTGTTTGCATTGATGGACAACAATGAAGACGATTTTCACCTTCTTGGGTCGAATATAGTACAAGTTGACTCGTTAGAAGCGATAAATTACAAAGATTTACGCTATAATACCGATAGAATATACAAGCTTAAAAACACGCCATCATTAATCATACACAAGTCGAAATTACGACTACAAAATTTGCATAAAATTGGTAAGAAACATATACCAGACTGGATCCATGTTGGAACCAATGGCAAAAGTTCAAGGCTGGAGCTTCATTTCCCAATTTCAAAATGTCTAAATCAGCAGTTTGGGGATGGAGGAAGTATAGATGTGCAAAACACCGTTCTTGCAACAATGATAAACACATTTGAGCTTACGCTAAGTTTAAATGTAATTTTCTATAGTGAAAGAGTGACGCAAGGTTGGGAGTTGACCAATTCAATAACAATGAGAAATTTGTATACTTGTACTGTTCCTGATGGAATGATTGGACAGATTTGGGCAAGAACTGATGTTATTGAAGCAAACGTCGACTTGAGCTTAATTGAAATTGAAAATGTTCCCAAACTGAAGAATAAAAGAATAAAGTTGAAACTTTGGAAAAATGTGGGAAAAGTCAAGATGTTCTTAGGAGGCGGTGGTTCCGGATCGGTCAATGGGGCTCAAAAGAGGCCAATAATTTCTTGTGTTACTGATGCAAGATTGATAGACTGTCTGGGTAAAAAATTAAAGACAGGCGGGTTGATGGTAATTTAGTAGTAGGATGGGGGAGGGGGTGGTGATGCAGCAATTTTCAAAAGACCTTATAAAAAATTGTTGTTATCATTGTCGATCCCAATTATTAATGGGGTACGCTATATTTGGGCTTGGTTACAGGAAAAAGTTTTTGTGGATACGCAAAGACTCAGTAGTTACAAGAGAGTGATAGCGGCTACTAAAGAACCCGATGCAGGAAAGAGTCCTGAGACTGGGAGATAAAAAACTACATTTGCGCTTGGTTACTTATCTTTAGAAATTTTATTCTCATAATCTGCAATCTTGAATGCTTGATTGCATCCTATGATTCAGGAACCCTATACTTTAGCCTATGACCCTCTTCATAAATATAGTTTAACTTGCTCTCAAACTCACCTTTTTTTTTCAACTCAACATACTTTTTATACAATAACAAGGCGGTTCTAGCGTCTTCAATAGAGTCATGATTTCCCCTTTGTACTCTTTCTCGCAACATGACAAATGCCAAGAACTTGAGACTCAACTGTCGCTTGAAACTTGCCATGTAATAGAAATCAGCAGTGTCTCTAATTTGCTCTTTTGGAACTTGTAAATTGATTGTTCTGAAATCTGTATACAATCCGTGACCAACAAAAATGACTTTCAAATTAAGCAAAAGCCATAACTTACGATATGCCGTCTGCAAAGTAACTAAATTTTTGTTAGACTTGCAAAAATCTAAATCCATTGGTTCGATACCGCTGAAACTTGTAAGATAATCATAGATCGGTGATGTGTGTACAATGTAATCATCAATAAATGCTTTTCCAAATAATGGGCTTTCGTCATCTCCACGTAAAACGGAAACACGAGCCAATGATAGGTCTTTTGGTTTAATCAATTTCTTGCTTCCCAAATAGCTAATCTCCAACTGTTCTGGTCTTAGTGTTACAAATTCTGCATCGATAGCAACGAGTGTGCCAGGATGTGGTGCTTCTTGTTTGGTTAACAAAATGTATTGCTTTTGGTATTCCTTTCTCGCAGCGCCTGCAAAATGATCTCGATACAATATAGAATCGTTACCTTGAAAATGAGTTATATAATCAAAAGTCTCAACTTTGTCAGCTTCTTGATACACTACAATAACCGGTTTCTTCCACTCGTGGGTTAGGTTAAACACTTCCTCCTCAGGAATCGGAATAACTAAGTAGTCATTGAAAAGGATCCATTCACCTTGGATTTTAATAAATGAAACTAGATTATGACCACCTGTTCTAGATGAGTCTATTTGATGACTAATTTCACATACGTATCCTAATAATTCATATTTCTTATATTCTCCAGATAAAGGCTTGGTTGGTTTAAAAGAGTATCCCTGATTGTTTCTTGCCTTTAAGGCATACATTTCAGGCACTAACCATTTCTTGAGACAATTTATTAGCTTAAACTCCTCATTGGTCAAATTAACATTCAAGACAAGTACGGGTGGTAGTTTTATAATACTAGTTCTGATTTCCAAAGTGTGTGGGTGTGTATGCAAGTGCTGTGTGCATGGAACTGTTTTACACTGATTCATTGAGTAATCCAAGTACGTCAAAATATTCAAATTTGTTCGAATGTTGGAAAAATTAGTTGGTTGATCTTGGTTGTTTGGATTGATTAGGATACTCATCTTATTCAACATATTGTTTGGAGGTGTAATCAAATCTAGGGACAATGTGGTGCCCAATTGCTTCTCGTTTACTGGACACGAATGACCACGACCCAAAATTTGAATCTCGTATGTCAATTCCGTCAAATCAAATTTTATATCAAACTGTGATTTGAAATCTAGGTTTAGCCTGTTCAACAAATAATTGTTGAATGAAACTATCAACTCTCTAACTTCATGAGAACTCAAGTTCATTAATTCATTCAAATTAATCAATTTCGACGCGTTGGCATCGTGATTCATAACTTGACTAAAGTTTGTTGTTTTGACATTACTTGCCTTGGCCTTATACATCATGTCAAATAGGTACGCCAATTCGTTAAGTATAGACGATCCTTCAGAATTTGTTTCAATTACTTGAGGCTCGTTTGGTAACCATTCAGTCGACAATGAATTAACCACTTGATTATAGAAAGATGGTTGAAACCGAAAAAGTTGCAACAATGCATTTATATAGGAATTATCACTGTGATTTTCCAATCCACAATACTTTTCCGTTCTATTGTAAAATGCAAAATCAAAATCCTTAATACCAAACTTTGAGTATTGAATTTGTAATCTTGAGTAACAATTGGGAATTGCATCTTCATTTCGGCATTGTAAAACACTTTCTTCAAGTGCTTCTATAGACTTTTTCTGCTCCTTTTCTTGATCACTCTTTTCACTAAGGAATTTGGGAATTTGGGAATCTTTGGTACTGGTTAAGGAGTAGAAATTGGTCACAACGTTTGCCGCACCGTATTTCAATGAATCGTACTTGAAAAGTCCCTGATCAGCTTTGGCTAATAGGTCGGAATCAATAGCATTTGGTAAACGAGCTCGCTCTTTGATGAATTTGAGATCGACTGGCCAATTTGATAGTAGCAACTCTTTATAATAGGGCATACCAACTATTGAAAGCGGCACATTGTTGTCATCTATATCAATAAACGTTTCAGAGTCAATGGTTATGTCTGGTTTCTCAATGTTTTGCGGGAAATTCACAAAATTTTTGCTGATTGCATCGGCGTTGGTAATTGACCATAAATGTATATTTGAATAACCATCATTGAACAGAAAGAAATCACCGTTTTCGCTTATTTGCAAATCAGACAAGGATGGTTGCTTTGCTGTTTGTTGAGGAGGCAACGGCATATCTGCATGATATACTTTCACATTTGTTTGATCAAATATATCTACAAACTGAATCAAGCCAAATGCAGAGGCAATGATCAAGATATTAGGTAGTTTAGGATGAAACCTGACTGATGACACACCAGCCGGAAAAGCAACCGGAGCAATTGCTTTCATCATTCGAATGTCAAAGATGTTGACCAAAGGATCACACAAATATTCCGGCGTTTGGTGATAATTGTACCTTTTTGGTTTTACAGAGTAGCCGCAACTAGCGATATAGTTCCCCTTTACGTCTAAATCAGACATGTACCCATTGTGTGCAGAAAACGTCTTTAAGGATGCATTGGACGTTGGGTCAAATAATTCAAGAGACCCTGTAGTGCCTGCTAGAGCAAGTAACTTTGGGGACTCCTTTATTAATGTTATCTTACCTTCATGATTGAATTTGGTCAAGACATTTGGTTTATTTAAATCAAACTTGAGCAAGGAAGAATTGGTGCTCACAACCACGTCATTAAAGGAGTTACAATTGAACGACATTGCATTGAGACTCTTGAATGAGTCGTCCTTAAATGACAAAGCGTCAAATCCACCTTTTGGTACTCCGCGTCGATTAAAGAAGGAAACCTCATCTGTCAGAAGCGCCAACGTGCCGTCTCTATGAGAGAGTAGCTGTGTAACCGGATGATGCAGACTATTTGTTAGGTATTTAGTATAGGGGCTTGTTTCATTGCTGAAAGGAGAACTTGTTTGTATGAAGGAACTAACATATCCATCATCATCACCAACTAGGATAATATTCTGCTGCGAATCGAATTTTGTAGAAACAGCCGTCCTGGGGCTGGTGCTTCCTATACCGGTGAATGGGATTTTTGTCACCTCTCCCCATCCCTCCATCTCCAAGATATCAACCAAAAAAGAACAGTAACAGCGTCTCTGTTAAAAGAAAGAAAAGGCTTCTAGCTAATATATATATATATATATATCTATCCAGCCCTATCCCTATTGAATGATAATAAATAACCCAAAATCTAAAACCCCCAAATAAACTCATCGGAGTATTTTTTCCGCTGGCGCCCGCGCGCGCTCCTCCTGCTGCTCCTGTTACTGCTGCTGCTGCTGCTGCTGCTGCTGCTCTTTAACACACGGTAGCGCCAATCTCGAGTCAAGGTGCAAGCTGATTAGAGTTATTGCTGTGATGAAAACCAGCGACTAAAACCAAGGAGGAGCTTGGAAGCTTTAGTTAACACACGGGTTTGATATTGTTTCGAGAAAACCCCTTTCTTTTTTTTTTTTTTTCTTCTTTTTTTAAGCAAACACTTATCTTATTATGCCATGGCCCCGTGGGAAAAGAAGCAACAACAACAATAATAACCAACAACAACAACTCTGTTGGTTTTTTTTTTTTCCGCTGCTGCTGCTCTTTAACACATGGTAGCGCCAATCTCGAGTCAAGCAGATGATGAAATGCCAATGATTGTGATGGTAACCAACCAACTACTAAAAACAAGGAAAAGCTTTAGTTAATTTAACTAGTTGATATTGTTTCGAGAAACCTTGTTTTTTTTTTTTCTTGAGGCAGACACTTATCTTGTCTTATCTTATCATATCACGTCACGCCTTCCTCTCCGCCTCGTGGAAAACAAGGAATGACTCAAATAAAGTATGACGCTACCATCTGTAATCAACACAAACATCGATGTAAACAAAAAGCCAAATTAATTGGTTAGCGCAATTGCAGAATGACTCTTAAACTAGTAAAGTTTTTACTCACCCATCTTTATCTGTGGTAGTAATGCACATGGAGGGGGGGGGGGATTGGTTATTTTGCTTATCTGTTTTATTTTGTTTTGAGTTTCATCTATGCATTCTTTATATGAATTGTCACTTGTACACGCATACTCACACCCATGTGCAATATACACTGATGCGACCCACGGGACTAGTGAGCTCGGGGTCTCGGTAAGGAAAAGGTTTACTATAAATTCCCTGTCAATTTACCTTATCATAATATAAAAAAGATTTTGTAGAATAGTAATCTATCAAAAAAGCGCTTTTAAAAAAGATCTACTTAAAAAAAAAAAGGATTATTGGACTTTGGCAGTCACTAGAGATTAGCCCCCGTTCTTCTACTTTAGATATATAACACTTGGTATTAACCTCCCACTCAAGACCCACTTCCCATTTCCAAGTCCGCTTCTCAAGACCCACTTCCCATTTCCAAGTCCGCTTCTCAAGACCCGCTTCCCATTTCCAAGTCCGCTTCTCAAGACCCACTTCCCATTTCCAAGTCCGCCTCTCTCTTTCAAAACTTCAACGAGGTATGTTCAAGTCTACCTTTGTTTATTTATTGCCACAATGGTTCAACAAATCTTCTCGCTCACAGCACCAGCAGCTGCCAATTGACCCAAAGACCATTCCAAAGAGCTTTAATGTTCAAAACCATGACAACAAGTTGATTAATATCAAAATGGATTCGACACAAGCCGGCGAACAAGGTGGTGACGCGGAGGATGATGATGAATATGTGGAAATATCAACAACACCGTTATCTTATGCAGAAGTAGCGCAATTGGGATTGAACAAAGAACCAGCAAATTTACAGATTCCAAAGGCTCTTCCAAGTAGAGGCAAAATCGACCAGAATCAATATACTATTTTGCCTGATAATCGTGAGTCAGACACTTGTGTTGCTGGTAATGACCTTGATGAGTTTTCCCTTTTCAAAACCGGCGATGAATATGAAAGGTCTCAAAATTACAAGGGTAAGCAATTGGAAATGAATAAAATGAGGAAAGTTAAGTCAAGAGAAATGAAGAAAAAACGGAAAAGCTGAATTGGGTTACGGTTTTCGGAGAGGTTTTTCTTGAGTTGTTGCCGCTTTACTTGCTAATAAGAGAGAGAGAAGACATTTGAAAATGAAATTGTGAAAGGGAACTCTTTGTTGAGCTTTTCTTTCAATAGTGGCGTCAACATTGTTTGCTATCTTTCTTTGATGGTTGGAATCTCTTGTTCAACGTGATTTGATTCGCTATTTGTGGCTGGAATTTGTCTCAGTCCAATGCTAATATTATCTTTGAAAATAAAAAGTGTTGAACAAAGTGTTGAATAAAATGTTTTGTCTTATTGTTTAGAGAGACTTATACATCTTAATATACAAATCTCACACTCTTGGTAAACTTCTTAAGCAAGCTCGAAATCCCTTGTGATTATTGCCTTTGTTATATTTCCATAACCAAAACACATCTCGGATGTAATTTTTTCCTTATTCGAGAAATTGTTCCTCATGAGTAACCCCACAGCAGAAAAAAAAAGATTAGATAAGATAAGAGAATTTACATATGCATTGAACTTAGCTACCACTAAGGCAGTCCAAAAAACATCCTTATTTACAGTGACAAGGTCTGTCTGTCATTGCAGTGTTGTTGTTATCCAGTCGAAGAGACTAGACGAGTGAAATGAGTCTAGTCGATAGAGTGTAAATGGAGAGAGAGAGACTAGACGAGTGAAACGAGTCTAGTCGATAGAGTGTAAATGGAGAGAGAGAGACTAGACGAGTGAAACGAGTCTAGTCGATAGAGTGTAAATGGAGAGAGAGAGACTAGACGAGTGAAACGAGTCTAGTCGATAGAGTGTAAATGGAGAGAGAGAGACTAGACGAGTGAAACGAGTCTAGTCGATAGAGTGTAAATGGAGAGAGAGAGACTAGACGAGTGAAACGAGTCTAGTCGATAGAGTGTAAATGGAGAGAGAGAGACTAGACGAGTGAAACGAG